AGGGAGCCCTGTGGGGTTAGCGCAGGGCTGAGCCCGCTGCCTCAGCCCCACCCGGGGCTGGAGCCTGCGGTGTCCCCGGCCTTGTGCTCCAGGGCAGGGTCGGGCAGCCCGCGCCGGGATAGGGAGGTACCGGCGGCTTGCGGCAGTGCCTGGCAAACTTTGGATGCCTCTGTGCCCCAAACCCGGCCGTCAGCCGTGCGGCCGCAGAGCCTATGGCTTCATAGGGGTACGGGGACTGCAGGCCGGCACCGCGGTGACAGCGCAGGGATAGGGCTGTTGGCCACTCCAGATATCCCCGCTGCAGACTCTGGTAGCCGCACCTGGCTTTAAGACTGATCCTAACCAAAGAAATAACTCATCAAAGGTGGTATTTTCCTTCAAACCCCAACAGCTCCTTCCATCTCTGGAGCAGTTGTGGCAGCCCTGAGGCACCCTGCTCAGTTGCTGTTCCGTCTCGTGTTGGCTATTGGTGGCATTTCGGTGGAGCGAGGGTCCCCCCAGGACATGGCATCTCCATCCCTGTCTGCCCAGCAGGAAGCTCTCCCTCCAGCGACAGATGCTGTTGTTCTCCGGCACCACCAATCCCTCTCAGGAAGGGACAGGGATTAGATGGGGGTAACATGTGTTAAGGTAATAGCTCTAAACAGCATTTTGCTGCCTGGCTTTACTGTCTATTGCTGGCAGGGGGCTGTGACACTTGAGCTCACTGCAGCCGCAGATGCTCTACACCAGTGCATGGCTCTCACCATCATGGCCACGATGGCTCCAAGTCCTGTTTTTGGCCCAAGGCAGATAGAGATGAGGGCAGCAGACCCTGCTCTAAACAGACACTACCAGGGGCCACATTTTGCATGAAAGACATTCAGGCAGAACACTGCTGTGTGCAAGTGAGAGGAATAAAATGCAGTTCTTAAGGGTTTTGAAGCAGAGGATTTTCACACCCCAAAATTCTGTATTTTCTTTTTCATCTCAACTTTCTCTGCATCCTGGCAGGGAAGGGGGAACAGAAGGAGCTTTTCTGCTGGACCTGGCAGCATCTCGCTCAGACAGACCTGGCAGGAACACAGGTGCTGAGTTAAAGGATGATCCTGAGAAAAACTCCGCCCTAGACAAGGCGACCATTCCAGACCTGCTCCAAGAAGGTAGTGGGGGTGGCAGAACCATGCCTAAGGTGGGGCTGGCAGGGCTTACATCCAGATGCTCCTGCTCATTGGATCTTGGGCATGGGTCCTGCCTGCACATCTGGTGCCTTCTGCTCCTTCACAAGGCCCAGTGACTACAGCAGCTACTTGCATAGTGCTGACCACTGCTCTCCCTTCCCCATTATCATCTGCTGAGATCTTGCTGCATCTCCTGGACAAGGACCTTCGCTTCTTCATATCAATTCAAGCTCTGCATTACCTTGAGCTTTCAGGTGAGTATATGGCCCATCTACAGGCAGTGCTCACAGGAGAGCTGCTGTCTCTATGATTGATGTTCACATGTTGACAAATGGAGTCATTCATTCTCCTTCCAAGGTGTCCAAGTTGTGGTTTGTGTTGCCCCCATCACAGTATCACAGTATCACAGTATCACAGTATCACTGTATGCTAGAGATTGGAAGGGACCTCAAAAGATCATCAACCCTAACCCCCATCCCTCTGTTCTTCTCACACCTCCAACTTGTAGCACATGCAGAGTTCAGGTTTGTTCCTGTTCTCTGCAGAAGACTTGGAAGTGCCCATCTTCCAGCATCACTCAGTGAAAGTTCTTGTCACATGAAGCTGAATGCTCCTTGTTGTCCAGGTGTCCAAGCTGCTAAAATTCCCTTTCAAGAAGGCCAGCAGCTCTGTGCACCCCTATCAGGGCAGGTTTAGCTTTCATTCTCCTCTTTCTTTCTGCAGAGGTTGTAGGGAGGATGGAGACTGAGGAACATCCTGGACCGAAAATCAGCCCTTTGCCCCTGCACTTCTATCTGCAGAGCTCAGAACTACTGCAGTAGTCCTGGAGTTGCTCCACAGGGCTTTTCTCCAGCTCCTGGTGGGTTTTCGCACACTAAATAGTCTCAGCTGAAACAAGAGCATGTGGCTGGCTGCAGCTCACTCACTGCTCAGCTACTCGGGGCTGTTGCTGTCCTGCCTCATTACTGAAGTAGAGCTACAGCTTTGAATTAAAAATCTATGATGAATAAAGGTAAGGCTAGGACATGTTGTAAGTCTGGAGCCATGGATGGGTTGGCTTGCAGTATGGACAGGTGATTACAGGCAGTATAATCTTTATTAACATGAAAAATCATCTGCTTTCATCTTTGAGGTGTCTCTGGAGCAGCTTGTGGCTCCTGGTGTCACCAGGTCACTGAGGAAGGCTGCAGGCTCCAACAGAAAACCATCACAAACCCCTGCTTGGCCAACAATCAGTTACTGACTTCTCATGTGCATGCTCAGCACAGGAGGTGGCTTGGTTTTCTTTGGTCTGAAATTCACTAAACTAGGCTTGAGAACAGCATCAAACTTAAGCTACTGCACAGTACTCCTTGCTCTTGTAAGTTTACAAGCAGCTGTGGTAAGTTATTCCTGGACTATTCTCTGGAGACTAGGGGAATTACTTAGTTACAAAAAAAACCAAGCCTAATGCTATTGCTTTGAACTAAACAAAAGTAGATACCATGAAACAACCTCTAGGGAAGCTATTCTAGAGGAGTCTAGTCTGAACGTTCAATGGTGATTCATCTATGCAATGGGACATAGTGAGAGAAAAATCAGGTCCCTTAATTTCTGGTGGTAACTGAAGCACAAGAAACATCTTCAAGCTTTGGGGAAAAAAATCTCATGGGGGAACAGACCTAATCCCACACTTCCTTTCAGCAAAAAGCAACATGCATGAGGTGAGGGGATGCTTATGATCACACACTGCAAGAACCAAGACCAAACTGGTACAAACTGCAGGTTTAAAGTTCCAGGTAAGCTTAAAACTTGCTCAAATCATTCTTCAGGTGGTGCAGCAAAGAGAGCAGCTTCTCCTCTGTTCTGACCTGGTTATAGCACATGTGGCAGCTGTCACAAGTTGCTTGTCTCCTGCCCCCCCCCCCCCCCCCCAATTATAGAAAGAGACCAGAGCACACATCCGCCTCATGCAGACAGGATCTGTTCTGTAATTCACAGAGGAACAAGGCAAAGCCTGTACCATGACACACTATCGTTTTTAGTGTCACTCCAACAGCAGCTGTCAAAAACTGGTCAAGACTCAAGGTTTTGTGCATGCTGCAGCACAGAGGGTGTCAGCTTAAGTACAAGTTGGCAAATGACACTTAGCTTTATCTCAAGAAGAAACTTGAGAAGTCTCTCAGCAGATGACAGAGCTGTAAATCATGGGGTTTACAGCCATAAAAGTATCATCAAGACAACTTTAAACTGTTAGTTTGTATTAGATAAGAAAATCTTCAGTTTGCAGCTATAAAGATGAAAACTTCCAGTTCGCATGCATTGTGTCCATCTGAAAGCCTCCAGCTGTGCTTTAAGGAAGGGCTAAGGTGTCTCATGAAAGCACTGCAACAGCTGTAACTCCAGGCTGACTTGGTAAGGGATGAAGCTGAACTTTATTTACTTAGGGATGTTTGCTCCTGTCATATTCTGGTTTCTTGGCATAGGAGGGTTACTGGTTGAGGGTGTGAATGGCATGAAACTATGTAATAGGGTAGAGTGAGTGGAAAGTAAAGTAATTTGTTGACACTCAAGTGAACTGTCATACAGAACTATGGCCTGGGGAGGGGGGAAGCATTTAAATCTTATTGATAGAGTTGGAGCATGGGTTTTTGTTGAGCAGTGGGAGCTACTTCTGGGTTTCACACACTGGTACTTAAAACCTGTACCACTTTCACCGGTTTTGATGACTAACGAGATTTCTGTTCAATAATAATCTCGCAGTTTGCCAGGAAAAGGGTAAGCAGACCAACTTTGAACAAGGGAGTTCTCTGGGCACATGTTTATCTTGGTCTCTTCTGCTCCAAACAGTGTATGAGGGATCCACCTCCATTTTCACTTGCAAAATGAAATCAATACATGTCACTGTAGTACAAGTAGGACAGAGAACAGAGGATACTGGAATCAACGGATCTCTGAATATTGATACCTGAAATACTGGGACAAAGGAGGAACTGAGCAAGGGCAGAGTATCTAACCACACTGCTTCCCCTGTCCCACATCCATAGTTCACACACCTCTTGCCCCAGGTTAAGGTTTTAATTAAGCCTAGGTTAACTTATACTAACCAAGCAGACTATTCTGTGAGGAACCCAGGCTGTGCCTGTGCTACAGTTCAGTGTTCAAGAAGCTCTTCCCATACACTCTCTGGAGCCCTGTGCTGCTGCAGTTCCTATTTTTGATACAAACCAGATGTGATACCACCTCATATTCCAGCCTTTCCTCTGGCTAAAGGATGTTCTCAGTGCTTTCTAGCAATTTCCAGTCACCTGTTCGTTTTGGAGCAGTTTTGATGGGAATAGGTCTTAAATAAGGAGATTCCAAGAACTGAGTGAGGGAATGAGCTGGGTCGGAACTGAAATTCTAAGCAACGAAGTTACTCCATTCAGGAAAGGTTGCTGCTGAGTTGGTTCCAGAGCTGCTGTTGGGTTTGGTAATCATGCCCATGGACAGAGTAAGGCTGGATTCAGGACAGAGTGCCATGCTGAGCCATTCTTTCCAACCCAAACGGCCAGCTCTAAGAAAACAGGACACACCAGGCTGGCTTCCTGTAGAGCCTACTGAAGGCAGAGAGAAAGCAATCGAAACTCATGGACAAAAAGAAGTGTTTTGATGCTAACTTTAGTAAGTAAAGTTTTCCAGATAAAGGCAATTGCATCCATATTTAACAGCTGTTAAAGAGATACACATTTAATTGCATTAGATAAGGGGTGTTTTATAGTCAAGAGGAAACATTTCAAGTGTTTTAGTTCTACCTGTTTGGAATTCAGACTTTCTCCCTAGAAGATATTCCAGTTGACAAAAGGGCCTTGTGCAGATATCTGGGATCAACTGAATACATTTATTTAAAAGCAATTTTAAATATTAAAAAAGTAGAAATTAACACATACAGTACTCAAAAACTGTCACATTAAATACATGTGAATAGACATGTGTACTGATGTTTTACCTTAACATTCAATGAGAAGTCAAGATTTTAACTAGTGGCATGACCAGGTCTGATTTCTGTACACGTTGATGTACTATGTAATAAAAAAATAAATAGCAACTGTTGTTCAACAGTAAATAAGACATCATCTGCAGAGCAAACTTCCCCCTCTGGGGGCACCTTCCCCTGGCCCTCCCCCCAACCCTTTATCAGCTAATTTTCCATAAAGATTTAGACTTTCCAAATACTATGTCATATACAAAATTGCAGACAGTGGCTCATTGAGTTCAAATATAATACTGTACTTAAACTCAATCAATATCATACATTTTCAGATTTCTTATGACCCACAAGAAGCCAGAATAAACAGAACTATTGTTCCCGATGGAACTCATTTCATTTTATAAAATGCATATGTATACTATTTTAAAGAGCGTAGAAAAGAATAGACATTTGACTCTACATAATTTTACATGCCTAGGTTCTCGTTATATGATTTGCTTTTATCAGTTTATTTCAAGATCACTTAAAAATACAACTGACCACAAAAGTGAATAGGTTTTGTTCTTTAATGCAACTTAAAACATTGGAGTAATGGATAAAATGGAATGCTAAATAAATGCTAAACCTGACTTCCTTTCCATAAAAAACAGTGAAATACTGGAGCTGGTAATACTGAAGATTAGATGCCAGCAGGCTCCTCACTCATGGCGTGATTACTATTACTTGTCATAAACTTTTGTTATAAACGATAAGACCATTGATAGATGCTTTGCGTTTCCTTCCATGTGGGGTTTGGACTGATACTTGTTTCTGTATTAACCATAAACAGAATTAAATATTCACTGACTACAGTCTTGTAAATGTGACTTAAAAATGGAAGCCCTCAGAGGGTCTGAGGTGTGCTTTGATGAAGTGAAAATCCTTCTATGCAGCCAAGACAATCTGCTTTGAAACAGCAGCACCAGGTACTGAAGCCAAAGTAATGTTTAAAGCAAGTAACACAAAACTAGATATGAAAGTCACAGAACCTGCTACAGACAAACCATGGGAAAAACATAACTGTGGTATGCTTCAAAAGGTAAAAAGTGATGTTGAAAGTGGCACAGGAAATAAAAAGTTTCCAGTAATACATGTACGTGTTTTCTGGCAATGCAGCTTCATCCCAGCTTCCAAGAAACCTCAGGTCCAAAGCAGCCTTCCACAGATTTTCTTACAAATTAGCTTTAGAACGGTTTGTTACTTGGTGCTTTGAATTAAGACTATCACAGTTCAGTGAACGCTACTAAAACCAGTCTGATCTGAGTTCTGTCATTAACACCCTGATCAAATGCATGAGAGGTCACCTTAACGTCCACTTTTTAGAGCACTTAAAAATGATTTCAATTTATCCTTATATCACCACATAAGAAGTTTTATTTTAGGTCACTAACTTTTAGTAAGGTTGAAGACAAGAGGAAAATAAAACCCCACAAACTAATTTTTCAAAGAGCCAATTCAGCTATAAACAAATACTGTTGCAAGCTCACATTGATCTGAATAGCAATTAAGTTAAAATGTTCTTTTCCTCAAATGTAGCTATATGACTACAGTACTACTTTTGTACAAAGGCAGGTTTCAAGTAAGCGTCTAAATGCATGCATAATGTCAACAGTTAACATTGTCTAGAAGTCCTTGGTTACTAAGAATTCAGTGAAAGAAACCAGCAAATTTCACATATACCTACTAAAGAACAAGAGGACTCATTTTCATTAAAAGAAGGTTTCGAATGAAAGAAATTGGTAACTTTTGATAGTGAGGTAATATCACAGGGGAACTGCAATCACAGTTTGGCATAGGTCCACGCCATAGAAACATGAAATGCTGTGTGCACGCAGTAAAACCTACTGTTATCTGTAAAGTCAGTGAATATTTGTCTTCATAATTACACTGAACTGAGCACTATATTAAATAAATACCGAAGTGGGTTTCATAGCTGTAAACTGCATACACTTAGAAACTGCAGACTGGTTTTTAAAGTCTCCAAAACCATTCACTCATTCTAACTTTCTGCTAACTGTATATTGAGAATACCGAGTTATTAGGAACAGTCATTTCTGTACAGTTACATGGTTGACAGAAACCACCTATGTTTGGAAAGCTGGCAGTTCCTAGACAGAGATGTAAGTGCTAGATGCCGAGGATGGCTTCAACAAACCCAATAAGGCGTGCCAGGTTCCAAGGCTACCATAATACTGGCAAAGGCAGAATAACACAGTATATTTACAATACATATAATTCAACCTCATGAGGTGAAAACTTAAATGAACTCTTAATTTGTAACAGCAGCTATATATACAATTGTGCACAGGATTACAGGGAGGCAGCAGCGTTCGCTTTTGCTAAAAAGCCCGTCTTGCATGAAGAATGTGCAATGCTCAAGTTTAGGATGGGTTTTGTTTGTTTGTTTTTACTAGTCTGACAGAATGTGCACAAAGGACACTGGGAAGACCCCTTTCCTCTCTGGCTGTCCTTCGATGTGGCCAATCTGCAACACAGGAGAAAAACATACATAGATACATACAGACGTCATAGACTTCATTTACTTCAGTCAAAAGCAGCAGAACCACATGGATCCTACAGAGCCTTTGCAAGTCCTTGGACAGTTTATAGCAGACCGCAGTTAATGTTTACATTTGTTTAAAGAAACAAAATAAACCCATACAAGCATATTATCTAGCAGACATCGAGCCAACTAAATCTAAAGGAAACAAACCTGCAGTTTATTTGGAAACCTACACACATCACTGAATGTCAAGTATCTCACCAAAACGGAAGCCTGATTTTCTTTTGTCTGATAGACTTTGAGATCTACATCTCTGAAACCATTCATCTTCGTTAACTGAGTAAAGCCTAAACATCTCACTAAAGGGAAATGTCTGCTACAGTTATGATAATCTGCATGCTGCGCTTACTTAAAGTGATAAAATACCAGCTATTTTCTCATTTCTCATTGTTGTTCCTAATGATTTATGTGCATATTAGTGTTTATCACACTATGGCCTGATAAATACCCTTCATGTACAACTTCAATAGCCAGCCAACTTCTAAAAAATTAGTAATAATGGAACTTCACATGTTTAAAATGGAGAATTATAAATAACTCTCAAACTGATACAGCACTGGAGCAGCAGTCTTGACTGAGCACAGAAGCCTCTTCTGCTGCAGTGCTGCTCACTGCTTTCAGAATAACAGTGTACCTCCTTCCTCTTCCCCATGCTAACAAAATGGGAAGGGGAAACATGCAGGGCTGGCCATTTCCTCTTGTAGAGCCAAATTCTTGAAGCATATGAGTCAACAGCCCTCGTTTCCCTTCTCAGAAACAGTCAGACTGCAGCACCTCATGCACTTCTCAGGCATATACCCAAGGGTCTTAAAAAGCCACTTCACAAAACAGTTTCAGCAAGGAACGCAGCTATAATCAGGGACTGGATGATACAGTTAATACAGCAGCTTTCCACTGGGCATTGCTCTTTCGATGCCACCTTTTCAGCTGAAAACCTTCTATGCTTAAATCATGAGCGAGGCAAAACCACGTAGCTAGAATTAAACCAGGAAAGGTTGTGCTGCACTCCTGGATTAGGAGATCATAGGCAGCATTTCTTTTAATCAAGATGAAATCTGTCTCACTTTACCCAACAGTAATTGTTAGGTAGGGAAATAAGATGTAGCAGGGCTTTGGAGGCAAGAAGTAGAGTGTCAAGGGAGGGTTGGAGCCTTCAAGTGGGGATTGAAAAACCCCTGGTGTTAGCACTCAAGATCCAAAGACAGAGTAGGGAGCAGGAGGATACAAACCAGTGGCACAGGAGTGAAGAAGGGAAAGAGAATGTTAACTACCTCTCATTTAAGGAGGAAAACCAAGAGCTTACAGCACCACCTACTCATGGTTTTCAGACTTTCATCAACCCCTGTAGGTACAACTTAACATTTCTGGTGAACTGAAGATAATTATGTATCTCATTATATAATTATACATATAATAATGTATCTCATTTTTCATGAGGGGTGTAAACATGCTAAGTGGAGTAAAAATCACCACTTCCTCATTTAATGGCAGGCTAGTGTGCATTGCAAAGAGTGACACACATAAATATATGTTGTTATGAGCCAGCCAAAAAGCCAAACTTGGTCAGAATGGTTCTAACAGACTCCCAGGAAGAGACAGGCCCTACCAGAGGAAGAGGTTTTTCCCCTAATAGAGGTTTGAGTGCTGGATGTTAGCTCAGGCAAAACACTATCAAAACCAAATAAAACCCCACCATCCACTGACCAAAATAACAACAAACCCTCCAAATTTGGGGGGGGGGGGAAGGCTTTCCTTTAGAAGTCAAAAAGAAGTTACGTGGGCTATGAAAGGAAAAGATACGTACCCACCACTCTTGGTCCTCTTCACCAGTTACAATAATTACTTCTCCTTCAACAAACGTGAGCTCATCATCATTATCTGCCTGACAGTCATAAATGGTCTTCACTCGCCTAACTTTGTTTTTCCCCTAGAAACAGAATGAAGTTTTAGATGAAGGACATGAGGAACAATGGCAACATATATATGGTAGGAATTTTGCCTTTTAGTTATGGTTTATTTTACAAGAAGGTGAAGATGACAAAATTGCTTTCCCTGCAATCAGAGACCTACAATCAAAAACCTCTGCTTCAACAGTGATAGTAAAACAAAATAATAATGCTACTGAAATATCTGCATAGGTGTAGGTTTTCTTCTTCTGAAGATTCAGAATTCCCAAAGAGACTTTAACATGTAGTTCATGGCTTAAATAACCTGTGCTTCCTCCAGTAAAGGAAGCTTAAATGACGTCGTCACATTGTTCCAGTCCACAAAACCCTTTTTCTCCTGTCACACACACTTCATTTAAAAAAATCCATCATGAGCAGAAGATTAAATCCAGCTTCACCTAAAGGTTACAAGAGAGGTGAGGGCTGAGCAAAATGCTGCACTGAAATACCAGTACTCCTCACAGTTTTGGGTCTAGTGCACTAATACAGTATCCTTTGATTTCAGATGTGCTTATAGGACTGGAAATTACTGAGTGATTTCTCATGCACAATGCTAGCCATTTCTTATGAAAAGAATCTTAGTTTCAAGATGGCAGTACTAGTTAGTGATGAAAAGTCACAATAGATATTCTTACAGCTCTACCATTCTGAATCCCAGTGTTTTCTAGGTCAGACTTTGCTGCAGCCTGCTAATTCATATGAAAAAGCCTGAGCCCTGGACTCCTCCCCGAACATATGCTGCTCACAGCAGGGAAAATGCTTTAAATTATTTCCAAATACAGAAAGGAAACTTCACAGCAAAACACTTCTGCTATTTCATATTCCTGTATCTTCATACCCACACTTCTTCAAAACCTACAGTGCCTTCTTTGAGCAGACATAGTTAGATAACAAGAGCGCAAAAAAAAAGACCAAGAAGAGCGCAAGGTGATGAGAAGCAGAAGGGCTACAGAGGAAAAAGTCAGCAGGTTTAGAGGAATTTGAGCCAAAATTAACTTCACAGAGGAAATTTCCTAGCGAGCCTTCTCTGTGCTATTGCCTGCCCACTCAAATACCTCTGCGCTTTGGCAAAACCCATTCCCTGCAGATGAACAGGGACACGGCAAAGCGCACTTATACTCAAGGTACAGGAACAGAACAGTTGGAGAGGGCTCTAAGGGACAGAGCAGTTAACAACGTAACACTAAGAAAACCCATACTCAAGGCAAATGAACAGAAAGCGAAGTTCAGATGAGATCAAAGGGGATTTTTACTGCAAGGCTTTGCTGCAGCAGGAAGTTACTTCAAAGAAGAGTTTCTCTTTTTTAAACAAATTAATATAATTTGAACAAAAATCTCAACTATCCCCAGGGGCCGGGATTCAATCTGAATGGGTATTTGGGGCCAGGCCCAGCTTCCAGCTCCACAGAACCTTTGCAAAGTAAGAGTGCTTCCAATCAACCCTCCTGTGATGAAGGGAAGCAACTACTGCCAGATCAAAACTGTCTCATTCAATGAAAAGACTTAAGAAAGTTAAATTCCTGTAAACTTAGAGGACTGCTTGCAGCTCAGCTTGTAAGAACACATGAAAAATGTCAGCAATTGCTCCTGGTTCCTTCAGATTAGCAGCACAGATGACACGTTCTATTCTTCTCACTTAGGAGAGTGGTAAAAAGCAGCATTCAAGCCCACGATGTATTTAATCTTGGGAAGGTTTAAAAAAGGCATGGATCTGAAGAGAGCATATGTTTTCCAGACCGTAGTTTGGGGCATTGGTCTGTAAAGAAATACAAGGAATTCCAGGACACATAATTTGCAACTATAAAACAAATGCCTGTTCCCCCCCAATCCTTTATTCAATATCAGTATTTATTAAGAAGAGGTTTTATGCTTAAGACTGAATACTGATCAACTGCTTCCCTTGGGTTAGTCTGAAACAGCAGCAATAGCAAAGGCAGTTCCCAGTTAACAATTGGACCTGATGATCTTGAAGGTCTTTTCCAACCTAAATGATTCTATGCCTCTATGGTCATTAATAATTACTCCATCCTCTTATTTAAATTCAATACTTTTTTTTTGTTTAAAAAACAAGTATTTTGTCTCCTTTACAGAAAACACACACACACACACAAAAGAACACTCAAGTGCTCAGTGTAAATTTAGAAGCACTCAGAGTAAGTTTCATTTCCTTAAAAACATCCTTCCGAGTCTTTCTGTATTAGCAGCATTTGTGGTTTTTACCTAACAGTTCTGAACAATTGATTTTTTAGAACATCCAATACAAAACTGGTGCTCATCTATGCAGCGGCTAAATAGTCAAAGCCAAGAATGAAGTGCCAGCAAGGACTAGTGGCTGCTGGCCCAGCTCTTACTGCTGCACTGATGGCACATTTCAGCAGTTTGTGTGCAGAGGATATAGCCAGGTGAGACACATTTAAGAGGCATTCTTGCACCTTATTACTTGAGCAAGAGACAGAAGTGTGCGTGCAATGTGTGGAAAACTGGTAAGTAATCATCGTAGATACATCATAATGTTATCACTGCAGAAAAAAATGGAACTATTTAACTTCCTGCACATGTGAAAATGGCTGAATTTGGAGATCCCATCTTTACTCAGAATTTTTCTGTATCAGGTAGGATGAGAGTCTAAAAAACCCCCTGAAACAACTGACCACTATTTGCTTTCTGTACTCTTGAATAAAGTGATAAATAGCTGAGAATGTCCAGCAATATTTGCCTGCTTATATTTAAAAGTATGCAGTAAACAAAGCATAGTTGCAGACACCTTTTGATCAGATCCCTGTACTATTTTATTTAATCTCCAGAATACTCAGGAAGCTGAAGGAACAACCCTGTTGTTCATTCTCAGTTCAGACAGGGGCTTACAGACAAGTCCATGACAGAAGCTGAGCAGTGATGACTACAGAGAAAGAGTCCTCAGACCAGCACAAGGGAGAAACTCACCCTTTGCTTTCAGTGAAAGAGTGGAAGTCTTATTTCCTTTACCTAAGTGCTTTGCAAAGCCAATTTGACAAGCAAAGCCATCTCCTTTCTGATGTATTCTTAATGATGAAAAACCTTAAGAGAGCTGCTGTGAAGTTTCATAAAATTATTTCAATATACATATGCATGACGAATCCCCTGTTAGATGGAAATGGCACTGGTTAGCAAGATGAACAGGAAGATGAATTGGGGGCTGAACAAAGAGACTTGGAATCGAGTTTTAGTTCCAGCTCTGCCACTACAAACCATCCAGCAATGTCAGTTTTGACACTTTAGCATTATAGCTGAACCTTTGTTAACTACTTTGGTGCATGACATTAAATACAACAGGAGCATGTATTTACCAGTTTGTCACAGTTAACTTTAACAGGATATATATGTATTTGGGATTTGTAAGATGTAATAGGGATGTTAGCACGCATTGGAAGTAGACAAAAAAACTCTAAGGCATAGAGAGCAGTGAGCAAAGACAGCAGAAACAAACACCAATCAATTCAGAATTATAACAAGCACAGACAAAAATGCCCAAGCTCCCTAATGCATCTAAACAAACTGTCATGCTCCCAAAGCTATCGTTTTATGCTACTAGTACTTGTTTCAGTATGCAAGAGGCCTTGCAAACCCCCAGCATTTGCTGAAGCTTCTTGGGAGCACAAAGATAACTCCTTATTCCCCATCCTACCCTATAACATTCTGTTGCTTTGTGTGCATAGCTCAAAGATGGGGACTTTTTTTGCACAGACAGTCCTACAGTAACTTCAAAGCCTCCCATGGATGCTTTAAATGAGCTGTAATAACACCTACCATGTTAATTTTCCTGGGCAGTGGCACAGGGGTTTCTGGCAGGGCGTGTGTTATGTCATTAGACTCTTCAGATGCTTGCCTTTGGACGGTGTCTCTAGATTGTACGTTTGGAGAAAGATCTAAGGAGTGAGATTTCTGATTTGCCTCCGAGGGCTGAGGCTTCGGTGATGCTTCTCCACCTTGGGTTTTAGCCAACAGCTCTCCCAGCTGAGGTTTTGGAGGAAGGTCCTTCATTTGCGGCTTTGGAGGTAAGTCTCCAAGTTGTGGTTTTGGTGGCAAGTCTCCAAGCTGAGGCTTTGGGGGTAGTTCTCCAGGCTTTGGGGGTAAATCTACCACTTGAGGTTTCTGAGTTAATTCCAGAGGCAGAGGCTTTGGGGGCAAGTCTCCAGGCTGTGGTTTCTGTGGTATATCGATGGACAGTGAGGGCTTCTGAAACATTTCCGTGTGCTGATGGGATTTATCTATTGAAAGATGATGACTGGTTTCTATTTTTCTTAGTGCCACTAAAACAGAAGAGCATAACAATGGGGTTGTCACCATCTCGTTTTAATATTAAAGAACTTAAGCACATATCAAAACTGTAATTGCATAAATGACCACATGTTCATCGAGCATTGTTAACTGCCCATAGGTTCCCCTAGTCTATGGAAAATGCAAGGGAACACACCTTGATGTAACCCTCTTTCACTGAGGCCTCATTTTATTGCTCCTCCTGGAGGCCACGAGTGCTTAATCCAGCAGCTACGAGATGTCAATTTATAGATAAACTACTTAAGAAGCAATAAAGTGATCTTGTAATGGACCTAAATCAGTAAGTATTAAATATAAGCTACTGTCATGACTGCAATGAAAATTCTCTTTGAATGACAATTATTCATATATACAGTTGAACTGCATACAAAAACCCCTGACTCTCAGGATTAGTACCTATAAAAGCTTACAGAAGAATGAGCATGTATGTGTCTATACAGTGTACAGAATATGTATTACAGACATTAAAATTAAACCTAGTAATTAATTATTGTAAATATTTACAATTTAGTGAAGAGGAGACATTTTCATATGTGTATTTTGCAGATTTTATGGAAAGAAATTGAAAACAGCTTTTTCAGATAGTTTTTTTCCACTGTTATGTGCTGATTCTCCTGCTAATTCCTTAAGAAAACTTGACTGAAATCCACGTTAAAACCAAGCCCATAAGAACACAATAAACCCCCCTGAAAACCTTAAACCAAACAACTCTGCATTAAAACAGATGAAGGGGGACAGGAGAGAAAATAGTTACAGCCCATGATGAAAGCAACACATTTTGACTAGAAGGAATAATTTCTTCTTGTGTTCAGCACTGCTTTAGTGTCATATTTTACCAGCCAAAAAGGTGTCCTGGAAGCAGCAACACTCCCTTTGGATATCACCTACTGCAATAACACTTCCATGCTGTATTTATGTTTATTTACAGCAAAAAAACCCAAAACTTTGCATAATTTCCATGAAAGAAACTGTATAGCTACTTTCAGATACCTCATTTTAGAAAATGCCTGTGTTGATGATACCTGTATATGGCTTTGTCTCTTAAGACTTATCTACTAGCAAATGTAAAACACTGATCATCCACATCGGTTTGAGGCTTACGTAAATGAGATGGAAAACAAATGACAGTAGCCCTTGAAGTGCTTTGATTGAGCCCATCTTAAGATTTCAACTGTATAATTTGAAATCAAGGAAGTGCTGCCTTTGCAGTGGTGCCCTATCACATCATTGGTATCTCTTTCAAAAGATGATACCAGGTCATAGTAACTGTAATTTAATAAAGTTGAAATCCCATATTTCCATTTTCTGTTAAAATGATTTGAACTCTCAGTCATCCTGCTTCTGAAGTTTGGGCAGGCATCACTTCCTGATCTTCAGGCTTTGTGGGGATGATCCACTCACACAGACAGAACATCTGTATCAGGCAGAGCTACAAGGTAGGTATGTGTTCAACTTTACAATCAATTACTGCAATAACTCAACTAAATAAAACTTGCTCTATGAGTTTAAAGAGAGACTAGAAAAAACATTTCTAAGAAGGAAGTACCATAAGGTGTTCATTGGGATGAGGGGCTCAGCAAGTCTGTCACCAAGTGAGCATGCAACAGCACCTGATTCTTTTCAAAGTTGTTATAAGGAGAACAACCCTGACCACCAAAACATGGCAATGGACATAACTTGCTTCATGGGCATCAAGAAATTTCACTTATGGATATTAGGGAGGAGAAAAATCTGACCAATGAAAGCAGCCAAAGATAGAAAAAACAGAAGCCCTGGGAGGTTACCCATGGAGAGCCTAAAAATGTGACTGGACACAGCCTTGGCAACCTGCTCTCATGTCAGAAAGTTGGTCCGAGTGCTGGACTGGACCAGTCCTGAGGTCTCTTCCACCTTCAGTTAGTTTGTGATATTTTTTAATCATATTTTCCACAGGTCTAAATAAAAACCTTCCCAATATTGGTAAATCCTCTCAGGTTTTTGCTAAGCTTTTGTGGTTTGTGCATTTTAGAAATACAACTTTTGCTGAAAAGTGCCATATATTTAAACCAAGTATCTACCTTCACATGTATTTAAAAGATGCCATTATGAGAACACCCACAAAGAGATCTCTTACCTTTTTGAGGTAGTTTGGGAAGAACTCTAGGGCCAAGTGCAGTCTTTGCAGTCCCAGTGCTAAACCAACAGATGTGACTTGTTAGTGCTTTCATACTGTTATGAAGTATACTCAAAACACTGTTAAGAATTAACTGCTTTTACACAGAAAAAGACATACAAACCCCACACAGCTTTAATGCTAATGGGCAGATTTATTCTACAAATGTGCAAAAATGTACTCTAAAAATAGGTGAAGCTGAAAGACCAGCTGAGAGAGCAGATCCAGAACTTTAAGGAAAACTTGGGTCTTTAAAATAATCATACTGAAGCACTCAAAACAATTTGTGCTTTATGTCAGTGAAGTTTCCCAGGACTAAACCTATGCCTTGTAGCCTACTGCACGAGTACAAGACTGTGTTACTTATAAACTGCAGCCACATCAGGAAACAAAGCCTCAGCTACTCCGAGGAAATACAGCAGGGTTTACTCTGCCAGGCTGTGTTACAGCTGTGTTGGCTATTTATAGGAGTAAACAACAATACAAGCAGGCGTTGTGAGTAATTTGTTACAGCATAAAAATCTGAGATAGTTGCACATTGCCAAAACTTTCCATCTGAGCTTTCTGTTGTAGGCAATGTTTTGTCAGAATTACCATCGGGCTGGCTCAGATTCACAAACCTGGCACATGAGGGCAAAACATGTTACAAGCTCCAACTGAACCCACCAGATTTCTTCTACTAAAACCACATTCAGGTCACTTTTATAGAAAAGTGACGGTGGAAGAAAAGAAAGCCAATTGATTTAAGGCATAAAAATCAAGCCATCAATAATCAAAAACCAGTGTCACCTCAAAATAGTTACTCAAAAAACAAGGAAAAAGAAAAATGGGTGAGGAAGTTGCCAGAATATGTTCAAGAGAGCAGAGTGTCTTCTGCATCAAACAGCCTTGATTCTCGTGTTATTTGTCTCCAAAACTAACGTTGCAAAACAAGTATGATGAAATAATTTTGATTTCCTAGCTTTTCTTAAATAGTCAAAATATATCATGATGCAAAACTGAAAGAACAACCAAACTCAATCTTGATTCCCCAAATAATTACCTCAGCCTTTATCTAATGCCATCAAACATGAGAACCACGCTTCTACTCTTGTTTTACAAGCATCAAGTATGGCACCAGCTCTTTGTGCTGTAGGAACATCACCCCTTTTTCCCTGAATACCCAGTGCCACCTGGATGGATTCAGCCAACATGGCAAGTCAGATGTGCCACCACCACCACGTCCCCTGCCTGTCCTGACAGGGCAGATCACAGACTGAGGAGTGTCCAGAAAGGCTACCTACGCATCTTGTTCGGTGATTTGTTTGACGTTACACATCCACCTCCAGTCATGGCCTGATCGTGCACACTGTGGTCATGCACAGTCTCTGTTGTATTGCCCAAGGCACATGTTTATTAGAATTACCATGCTTTTTGAACCTCAGGATTTTGGAATCACAGTACTGATAAAGGAGTACCAAATACCAAGTGACAGGGATGTATGGTTATCCCTACTCCTGCAGCTATTGAAGAAGACACTTATGTACTGACCTGATGAACTATGAGCTAAAAGCAGTTTGTGGTATTACAGCTTACAGAGTGTGTGTCAGCACAGAGGCTTGACAGACTGGCAAACAGTTAAGCTGGACAAGCGAGATGAATTCTCTCTCTTACAGAGCTGTCTCTGATGCCAGCCTGGACGCGGAGTGACACTCCTGCAGCTGAAGGCGTGAGACCTCACACTGAAGCACATAAAATCAAATGCAGGACACATGAAAAGAAAACTTTTGTCTTGCCGGACTGCAGTGTGAGGCAGCATTCCCCAGCTCAGAGAGTGCTTGTGTAGGAGCAGTAGATAGATTCTGGTGCAAGTTGTTCTGCCCATCCCTCTCAAAGGATGAATTGTGTCTGGACAGCTATGAACCAAGCGTAGGAGGCTCGATGAAGCCAAAGTATTTGCATGGTAGTCAGGCATGCAGAAAACTAATGAAGAAATGTAGCCAGGATTTTACTTCATATGAAAGGCAATTTCTTTTCTACTTTATAAATGAGTTATCCTTAGATAAATTCTCATCTTTGCCTTCATATACACAGATTTTACCTTGACTGCTGAGACATCCCCTCAAACTTGTTTGCAGCCTTAGTTGAAGGTGGGCCCAAATCATTACCTGAGGTGAAAAAAGCACAATTTAAATAAAATTATCATTAGGATAACTGAAACATAATCACCGGAGGGTGCAGCTTCAAGTGAAGTACACATTAGTCCAAGTATCCTCTATACAACATGTCTAGAGATAGTAAACATCATTATTGACTAATAGTTTTGTAACTGAAAAAACAGCAGGGACAGCAATAATCCAACTTGACCTTACATATAATGCAGCTTAAAACAACTTACTGGTAGCTCACATCTGCTGGCAGGGAAAGATTGAATGACATTGCTGAGTTACTGCTCTAGGGCATTTGTTTTGAATATAGTGTTTCAATTTTCTCTGAATAGGAGATACTGCAGGCCAGGACCAAATAAATTTATCACAGATGTTTGCATTATGAAGCACATTTTTTTTAAAACCACCTTGAAATTGATTTTATTAACAAAACATCATTATTTCTAAGGCCTGGTATTTTATCCTACGTGAAGAATAGCTTTTGCTGATATAATAAGTAGGTCAGTATGCAACCATAACCTGAATGTTAACCATTGGTAAAAGAAAGATCCTGGGTATACTCAGTTCTGTCATGGCAGCAGAATCCAAACCCAAGTGCTCCTGAACTCCTTCAGAAGGCTTCTTTTTCATTAACCACCACCATTCCCAAGGTACAATTATACTAACTACTTTTAGTGCCCTTATCATTCCCCCCTCCCTCTTCTATTATAGCGTGTGTAAGCAACCTCAGAACCAACTTCAACAACCATCAGTAAATTTTGTCACTGAAATAGGTGTAAAGTGACATTTAATGATCCAAGAACAGAAAATACTTCCCATACAAAGGAATGCCACATTTTCTTAGGTGCCATTCTTAGTGCGTTGAAGTTTAAATGGAACTGCAGAAAAAGCTCATGCAGAGCCTTGCTAAAAATATGTTTGTATTTCAAATGGGGGAGAAGAAAAATAAAGGTAAAACAAACAGCAAATCCTTCGCATGTAGATCCTATGGATCAAACAAGGGAAAATATCCTGTGGTTGCTATGGAAATCCAAAATAACCTAAATGACATTTTTAGATTATCTTTGAATAGTAACTTCATTTGCTTAGACATAAGCTAAGGATTGCTCTGCTTGAAGCCTCAATCAGTGCACAGATTAAGAAACAAATGCTGAAATTCAACATGACAAGAAATACAACATGGAAAAAAAAGCTTCCGAAAGGGAAAGCAGCGAACACTCGACAATGCTTTTAAACCAAACCACAAAGGCAGATACAAGAAACTCCCTCTTTTATAAACACAAAACTTAATCCTTGCTTAAAATCCAAATGGACTTTGAAACACGTTTTTGTACAGATCTCTGCTAAGAGGGGAGAAGAGGCCTCTCTTCCATCACTGAAGCTCAGAGTGCGCTGCAGAGCAGAAAAGAGACAGAATAAGCAATGTTCTTCTCCAGCCCTGCCTTGAAAAGGTATTCTACTGCTATGACTCCCCACCTGCACCTCTGCAGTATTTTTCTTCTCCTTTATCTGTTGCCTAATGTTTTTAAAGAACAGTTGGCACTAGGTTAGCATCTGTTCCTACCACACTTCTCATTCCGATAGTCTGACATCAGAGCGTATTCCAGTACCTGGTATTTTAGATGTTGTTTTGGACTTTTCATAGATTTTTGAGGCTCTTCAACATGCCTTTACTACCTCTGGAATAGCAGAGGGCTATTAGACCAGAACATAGGAAACATTTTTTCCATAGCCCAGGTCTCTGAAAAGCAGAGAACTGCAAAAGGCTGTCATCATTTGTATTCCTTTGAGAAACAGAAAAAGACCGTGCTTTTCACTGGACTCTGTATTTCACTTCTTATCAAATCCTAGATGAAATCACATATCCTACACGAGTACTCTATGATTTACCACTTTTAACTCATTGCTGGTTTTACACTTACAATTTTTTTAGGCTAGTAATCTGCATTAGAACAGAGAGAAGACACTCTTAAGACACAAGAAATGTATGGACCCCCGTTGTAAGCATTGGATCCCAGCTCAAAAGTTTACAGACACATGGAAAACCTGCCACCAACACTAGTAAATTTCCTGGTCCTGAGATTTACAGGTACTGGGATTTATAGGGAGAAGCTGACTGTATAGAGCAATGTTTATTGAAAAGAGGAGTCATTCAAGTAGTCTGGTAAATAGTTTGTAAAAAGCTTGTCAGAAAAGTACCCTCTTAAAAAGAAAGAAAAAAAGCCCTGTGCTGTTTCTGTATGTATAACTTCTGCAGGTAGAAGGATGAGACCCTATCAGTCTTTGTGTATGCACAGACAACATCACAAACCCCCAAAACATATTAAGACAACACATCACCAGCTAGGTGCCAACAGTCTGTGGGAGAGACCTGGCACAGAGCCCAAGGAAACCAGCTCTTCTGGGAATCAGAACCACACAGATTCACTGGGGTTTATCTGTCCCAGATCATGAGCCACCTACATCAGGGAGCTGGTCACAACAGCAGCAGGGGTGAGAAAGCAGAGGCAGAGGAGATGCAGCAGATGAGGGGCTAGGGTGAGGGCAGCCTGGGCAGCTGAGGTAGAGAGGAGGAGGCAGCAGAGACCAAATTGTGCCCCAGGGGGAACATGGAGTGTTTTCAGGTTTCTCAAGTGAGACTCGGATACAGAAGCCTGGAAGCTAGAGTGACAGGAGATAGAACTGCTGATTTATCTGACGCTGCATCGAGCTGCAATCATTGGAAAGCAAGCACCAGGTGAAAAGAAATCAAAGATCATATATCATCCATCATAAAAGGTTTTCCCCTGCCCTTTTGTTTTGCATTTCAGAACTCACCCCAAGGAATTGGGCCCTTATTCTGGGGTCCATGAGGTAGTGGGCTTGGTGGGTCAGAGAGGGTTCTTTTGTGTCCTGGGGGTGGGGGAGGTGGTCTCTTCTTGGAAAGAGTGGAGCTGCCACTAGAGGTTTGAGTGCTTAGAGGGAGGGTTGAAGGTGGGCCTGCAAAATAACAAACAACCTTCTTACAAATACATGTGCATAAACGTCAAAGCAGCACTGAAAAAAAATCACAGTCAGACCCACAGCAAAGTGCAGCAAAGGACTCAAATGAAAAGACAAGCCATGCCAGAACACTGTTTGGATTAAACGACACGTTCACCACGTTTTTAACCATCTCAGCTGTGGGAATATAAGCAACTTGACAGCAGAACGACACGTGTACTTATGTTTAAAAATACAGGATTAATTGGTTCATGACTCCTAATTTTAGGCATTAAAAAAAAAAAGAAGGCATGAAATCTTAAAATTAAGTAAATATTAAGCATGTGGGATTAAAGCTATTATTAATTTGGAACAAAAAGAAATAGCTTTCTAGATGTTCAAGTATGTGGGGACATTTTTTTCCCCATCCCGTAACAGCATCCCATAGGAATCCTGTTAATAAACTGAGGAGGATGCAGGGAACAGAAAACTACCTATGAATTTTCCTTGCATTTTGAATATTGCATTGTAAACTTAAATTTTTCTATGCTTCTTTTCCTTTTTTTATGTGGCTTACATAAATGAGACTATACATTCTTGCAATGCAAACTGTTGTACGCAGTGTGCATAAAATCAACATCAGCAAAGCCCTTTCCAAGGCTGAAATTGGATATTTAATGGTAGCATTGCTTATAGAGCTTATGCAGTCACCCCTCCCCTTAAACACTTTATTTCCCCCTGCATCAACATTGGCACAAATATTATTCAACAAAAATGCATGTTTTACAGGATGTGGGAACACACACAGGTTAAAAGACAAAATAATCCAGAGGGAAGACAAGTTTTCCCTGATCAACTGCACCATTCCCCTTCAAAAATGACCTTAGTGAGCAGCTCAAGGAAGCAGGCAGTGCAGGGAGCAAACATGCAGTGAGGGGATAACTGCTCCAGTCAGTGGCCATTTCCACAAGAAGTTACCTGTAACACTTATCCCGATTAGTCTGCATTAGGTTGGAACAGCTCTAGGGGGTTTTTGTTCAGTTGGTTTTAATCTAACCAACAAGTAATGCTCCCCTGCAGTCATGATCTTGCAATTACATTTGCAGGTAAGAGAGCTTTGTTATCGCAGGCTCTCAATAAATGCAGAAAATTGATTTAAAAGCAAAGTGCAGTTACACCTGAAATTTCAAGTCAAGTCACATTTTGTTGCACTACAGAACAAATTCACCTCTTTTTTAAAAGCCTATTTGAAGGGTGTTTGAGACAAAAATCTTCGTTGTGGTGGTTAGGATATAGCCTGACCTGCACACAGAACTAGATCTGCCTCTTCACAAATATATACTACCGCTCTCTACAGATAGACTGAAAGTCACCAAAGTCTGCATTCCTTCCTAAATTACTACACATCATGAAAGTACTAGGGTCAGTGAAGACTAATCTTTGTTAAAATTCCCTAGGTGAGATACTAAACATTGAAAAAGGTAACTTCAATTATCCTACAAGCAAGTGTGTATTTGCCAGGTATTTTCAGCAGGTGACCTCCCTTCTTCTAAACCCCAAAGAAAAGATTGATAAAACTGCCCATTTTGAGTTAATGATTCATTATGTTCGCCTCCAGATTCCAACCTGGAAGGCCTCTTGCTGCTCAGGAGAATCAACCACATACCCAGCAGGTATGTTGGAGCTGGCTTTCCATTAATTGCTTACCCTCGTAAATCAAATCATGTATTATGGGATTCTTCCTCTCAGTTTACTCCCAAGTTCACAAAGACCATTAACTGACAAAAAGCCAACTGTTAGTGCACGTTAATGCATCCTTTCCCATTTGAATGTCTTCCTTGAGCTTTAAGAAAGGAAGCTAATTTAAAATATGGATTGAAACATTTCTGCAGCAAAAATAAGAAAACTCTTCTCAGTCTAAGCTTTGACTGATGATCCCCCAACACCAGTCATAAATTCTTCAGTTGGCTTAAATAAATATGAATCAAAGGTTGCTCTGTAAACAGTAGTAACTCAGAGTATAACATAGGAGTGCTGAAGGGGAAAGGAGAATTCACCATCCAGTGTTAACAGTAACATTAGTTTTAAAGCACGTCAAAACCATACACAGGATGTCTGCATTTCACATCTCAGAAAGGCACTGCACACTGACAAACTGCGAGTGGGGATGTCCAACACCTCGGAAGCTCGCTCCTACCACCACCTGCTGTGCTGCTGTTAGTACTGCACTGCAGCCCGACCGCTCAGTGCCAACACGGTCTCCAGCCCCACCATGAGTGACACAGAGTTCAAACTAGGCTTGAAGGCCAGAAAGTGGAGGAAATGCAGTGAAACAGTATTGTGTGCTTATCATAAAAATAAAACCTCAGCCACGAAGTAAAATGTTTCCTTTTTATTGCCAATAAAATGAAGAATCTTTCTCTATAAAACTAAAATTTAGTAGGATAAAATTCTTTGAAGGTGGTCATATGGATATATATTTTATATTTCACACTAGTAGTGTATCTCCAGACATCAGAGAGGAGCTGAAAAACATTATCACTTCATAGCTTTCAAAAGGTCCTATGGCATAAAACACTTCCAGGGAAAAGATGTTAAAGCATTTAAATTAATGTATCTTGCCAGGCTCCTACCGTACCGTTTATCCCTATATTAATTTCACTGAAGATAATTATAAATTTAGGAATCATACACTAAGGATTACATGGCTGAAATACAAAATAACTTTCAATAAACAGAAAATAAAGGAAAACTTCAAAATATCTTTTCAGAAAGAGGTATGAAGTCACATCACTTTGAATAAAGCAAACATGGGAAATGTTCTGGAATCTAAATCAGCTTTTGGAGACAACTGGTGAAACAATACACAGATCTAATGATGAAATTTATTATGAAATACTTTTTATTATAGAATCATTTTGGATTGAAAAGACCTTTAAGATCATCAAGTCCAACTGTTACCCCAAGACTGCCAAGGCCACCACTAAACAATGTCACTCAGGGCCTCATCATCATCATCATTAAACTCCAGACAGGCAAAACACTGCAACATACAGGGGTACCCCAGCACCTCTCCTTCCTTGCCTATGCCTCTGAAGAGTTTATAACCATGCATTGCAGCACTCCAGATGTGTGAGTTATGCCACCATGTTTCTGTGATTGCAACTCTATCATAGTTCTCCCGCTGCACAATGGCTGCTGGCTCCTCCTGTTTGTTGCCCACACTGTGTGTGCATTGATGGAGATGCACTTCACTTGGGCTGATCCTACCACCTTTTGTGGGGGAGAAGCCCCAGTTCCTACGTGACCACTCTCGGGTACTTCCATGGTTTCTGACACATCAATAACCTTTGTGGTTTTGCTGCTGCATGGATCTCCATCAACTGCCTCGAACTGTGCGCTCCTGCTGGGTCTCTCAGCTTGCCTGGTCCAGCAAACTGTCACACTAAAGCTCTCTATTGCCGATCATGTCCTCAGTGATACCCATATATCTATGTATAAACAAAACCTCAAAGCAATTCTTACATGATATTTTTAATTACACAACCTTAGCTAGGCATTTTTAAGCAGTAACCAGAGCAGTTATTTTTCTAGACCAAAGATATTTTGTGATTCTAACCAGGCAGCAAGTAAGCCAACCAGTTAATTTCTTCTGCACAGTCATCTTAATGATGATTTCCCACACAGTTGTGAAGTTCATACTGCATGAGAACACTTTCTTCACACAAGGAAAAAAGTACAAAAACCAGGAAAAACACCTAAGCTTTTTTAGTTGTGCTTCCACTGGGCTCTCTTCAGTTAGCTGGGAACTGTTGCTTTCAGTGCAAACTGTTGTCATCTTTTATTACTTTTTCATATTGCAAGGATCACACTTTCATGTGTAGATAAACCAAATAATCTCAAATTTATTGTACTAAGGTAAGTGATGGGAAAAGCTCCACCACTGATAGTGCATTGCCATTCAGCTGTTGTGCAGTTAGTATAGTACCTAATAATTTGTGTAGTTGTGAGACCATGCAAAGCTGTTGCCATTCACTCAAGAAATGGTGCGCTTAGGGTGTAAAACCTCACATTTGTATTTTTTTTACCACTTAATGAGAGAAATGGAAGAACCATTATTCCAGTTAGTGGTACAACAGGAACTGCAAAGGAAAGTAAGTGTATATTAAAAGTAGAATCTTCATTGACAAGTGTTGTTATTCTTAAAGTTCTTATGAGTGATGTTTTTGCAGATATTACTAAAAGCCTTCCTCAGTTTGTCTTACTTCGCATCACATTTTCAGGACTGAAAAGAAGATCATAAAGAAAAAATTACCATGATCACTCTGAAAAAGAAAGCTAAGAATATACATCAATTCAACAACAGCATTTGCAGTACATTCTATAATAAAACAATGAAAAATGTCCTGTTAAAAAACCAAACAGACTTTATGTTAAAGAATGTTGTATTTTGGGTTTATGCACTAATACAGAACAGAAGAACTGGACAACCTTAATGGCTGAGGTAATGGAAATGAGATTAAATAGAGCAGTATTGTGGTTAATGTTAAAATTCCATACTAAGGAAGCATTTGTTCTATAAATCAAGGACTCCAGTTGAAAATGGTAGTAGAGACTGTAATGCCTGATGCTATAATATGATGGAATAATAAAAAAAATAGGACAAAGGAAGTTTTGATGTAGTATTTGCAGCACTAACAGCAAGGTTTTAATGCTGTCTCTATACTTCCAATCACTTGTAGTTAAGAAAGCTGATTTAAACAGCAAAGGTACAGAGAAAGGCTAGTATGATGAAAGGACAGCTTGACTGACAGGGGAATGCAAATACTCTTCTCTCAGAGAAGGTGAAATATGCTCGGTTTATCTAACAAAACAGAAAAGGAGACCTGCATGACCGCTCTCCAGGTCATGCCTTGATACAGATACAATAACAGAAAAACCACCAAAGCTAAATGACAATACTGGTACATGAACAAAGTAATATAATGGATTTGAGAGGACTGCTAATCCTGAGAGAAATACAGTCACACAGTTTCTAGGAAGTTACTAGTAAAGGCAAATAAGCAAATTTGGTTAGGAATTGAATCTGATCAAGTGAGAAGCAGATTATATGACATGGTATCTGCAGTGGCAGTGGACTGGAAACACAAATGCCTTTGGCTTTACGTACCTAACATCAGACCTGTGAAAAAGAGCGTAAAATATGCAAATATGTAAGTCACCAAGCTTCCCTTCATGACATCAAACTGATCCTTGACTTCCATGTTCATCCAGTACGAGAAATAGGCAGAACCATTACAAATTAATTCACTTTCAGCTCAAATTAAGGAAACTTGCCTTAGACTGCCTAACTTCTACAAAACTAGTTAGCAACATTGCCTTCACTTTGGATTCACAATTAGGGTCATGCAAAGTTTTGCTGCTATGTTGAGTCATGCAATCACACCAATATTGGTATTTTGGGGTTTTTAAAGCAGAAGACCTGCTAGATGTCTGGAGCCACAATGCAGGTGTAAGCTGGAAAGACTGATGATTTTTAGAATGCTACAGATTGAAGACTGGACTGATAATCACAGTATCACAGTGTCACAGTATGTTAGAGATTGGAAGGGACCTCAAAAGATCATCTAGTCCAATCCCCCTGCCGGAGCAGGAACACCTAGATAAGGTTACACAGGAACGTGTCCAGGCGGGTTTTGAATGTCTCCAAACAAGGAGATTCCACAACCTCCCTGGGCAGCCTGTTCCAGTGTTCCGGCACTAATAATAAGCTAAACCTGAATAAGCTGAGAGGAACTACTGGAGAAGGCAAACAGGGGTTGGCTTATGCAGCTACTGCACTCATTCTGTACTCTTCATTCTATTTGGATTAAGTAAATCTGTAGCAGAGAGCAAAAAGTAAGATGTATCAAAAAAAAAAATGAGTTTGTTTACTGTAAAGTACACTGACATTCCAGCATTTTAGGGATCTCTATATAACACATTCTCCAACAAACTTACCTTCTTTACCCAATCAAAGTCCAGACTTGATGGCTCCCAGCCCATTGTGGCATCTCAGTAAACCCCACAGAACCTGGCTACTAAGGAACTTCACTGGCGAACAAAGCCAGCTTACAGAGCGCTAAAATGAGGTGGTTTTGTTTAAACGTGCAATGTGTTTTGGAAGAGTTTTATCTGTATGCCCCAAAGGATAAAAACCATGAAACTTTAAATTCCTCTGCCTCCTTCTAAAATAAGATCCCATCAGCTATCGCTCCCTACAGACTGTCTCCATGTTCTAGGAGGGTCCCATGGTATCTGCTGGGGCTTCATAGAAAAGAGGGACAAAGATCAGATTATATTTGGGGACAAAAGAAAAGCTTAAACTGAATTAAAGATTCAATGCTCTTTTTACTCTTGATATTTAGGGAACTTAGTGCAAAATATTGTGTTTTCATGCGATCTTAAATCAAATAGGTAGGTATTAAAATGAACAATAGAAAGGATTTGGTAAGTAAGCTTGCATGTTAGACTTTGATGCAAGGGTTATACTCTATTACTACTAATCTCAAAAGAGCAGATAATTCCTAAAGGATTATTTTTTCCTACAGAAACGAAATTAAGTCAGACTGTTTCAAAATTAAGATGCATCACCAGTGTCTTATGGAAGTAGAGTCCCTGCTTCTTTTACTTTAAAACTATCTGTTTGGGAGCTGGAAGTGGGGGAGATAACCAGGTGTAGCAGAGTTTATACTGAAGCATAAGTACATCTGCAATGATGTGTCTGGAGTGACTTTTCCACACTGATGAATTGTTCTAAGTATGTCACCTTGTTCCCCTGTCCTTTAGAGTCTTAAATTACTCCTGTAACCCAGCATATATTTAATGGAAACTTCTAAAAGGGATTAAATACTTTACAGCATTATTGAATGAAAATCAACCAAAAGCCCAGTAACACTCTCAGACTGTCAAATTTTGGCATATATGAAACAGAGAAGCCTAGTGACATTCAAACTTTCTCTCTTACAGTGCAAATCTGGCATTTTCCACTCCGATGAAGCAGTTAATGTTACTTTAGAAGTCAACAGTTCTCTGTATTTTGTGATAATATCATGTTATTTTGTCGTAATATAAGGATTCCCTTTGTGTAATTCTTGACATGAAAGCACACAAGAACTCAGTGTTTCATTTCTTTCCAAGTAGCTTTGGTCTTGTGTTGATTCACTCATCCAGGACTTTGCAGGAACACCTAGGAATATGCCTAATGTTTCTAAAACTTGAATGCATGCTTAGCATGAAATAAGCATGTAAATATTCCTCTTCCTGGAGAAAAGGCAATGACAAAGAAATAAAGTTCATCATAATCCATTGAAAGCTGCAATATACTAAGCAGTGTACAGACAGATATAAGACGTGAACCTCATGACCTTCTTATCAAAATGGGATTTGTGATTAGTCTCCAAGTCTTACAACTTTATGACAAAAAGAAGTTACCCTAGGTCAGACTGAAGGAATACCTAAGGCAGTATATACTGTGCCTGACAATGGACAATCAGTAGCAGACTGTTAGAGCATGTGAAAAAGATAATGAAGAGGAAGGAAACAGAATATTGTAATGCCAATAGGAAGGTCAAAATTGTAGTTACAACGGATGCAACTGAGTCCCCCGATATAAAGAGACATGGGTTATGAACTCTCAAGTGAAAACTGCATACCCTGGCAAAATCCCTTTGCCTCCTAATGGAAAACAAACCTGTTTAACAAAGAACACCTGGGGATTCATTTGAAAGTTGCCAGTACATGACAAAGGCTGACGGTGGAATGGTAGTTCTTAAGCACAGCATCAGAACATGCAAAAGCAGACATCTGATGCCAATACACTCTCTTCTGTCCGTTTCTCACCTTTTAGAGAGAGTATTTCTTAATTTTAAACCAAAGTTAACTACCAGTTGAGGAAATGAATTATAAAGTTAAAGCAGTGCTAGAAAAGGGGGGCATCAGCACAACTGCTGAAAACGTTAATGATGCTGTAGCCTTCACAACTGCAGTTTTCTCTAATAAGTCTGCTGTAAAAACACAGTTTGTCTGTTTCTAAATTAATTGTGTGCAAAAAAAATGAAAAAATTGAGATTTTTTTTTTTCTTCTAAAACATTGATTTGTGCAAATGAAAGTAACGGGTTTTTTTTCATAAGTACGCCATCAAAACTTGAAGGTTAAGGCCAAAAAAACACCATCCACTTACTGCAAGCACCAACTACCAAGAAAGAGAAAAATGACTGCTACTGCTGAACCCAGGACAGCCTCATAGACAAGTAAGTTCTCTTCCTTTCCAAGGGCTACCAAGAGTGTCATTACTAAGAAAAAGCATCCCATTCATTTCAGCTAAATGCAGACTGCTTGAATCGTAGCACAAACCTTCCTAACAGATACTTCTACAAGAGCAAAATGGTTGTTTCACTCAGGGAAGAATGGGTGATGTTTGCTTTAGATCTTCAGTGCCCAAGTGGCTTTTTTAACAATTTGTCAATATTTTCTCTGCCCTTCCTTATGCCCCTCTAGCACCAAAGTGGAAGAAGAAATCCTTGATGCACTGAGAGGGAAGGAACTTCAGTACCAACCTGCTCAGTACTTCACAGGTCATTCTGGTATTTGTCTTTATCCACAGGGTCTGACTGCAAGGAGAGGCAGCCTTCTTGCACCTCCTCTAAAGTTTTCACCCCCTCTGCCAGACTCTACACATCACATCCCTACAGCACTACCCACAAGCACCTCTTCCAGATCACTTGTATTTTTGTTACTATAAATACTATAAATGCTTAAAAACGTTTCTCCTAAATATGAACAAAATTTCTACAGAAAATGAATCAGATTTTATTTAACAGAGAATTACTTTATTTTTTCACCTAGTCATGTACAGTTATGAGACCATTAAAAAAAGGGGGGGAGGGGCATTTTAAGTTCTGAACATGCATTGTATCCGTTTATTGCATCAATGTAATAGCAGAAACTATGCTACATCTTGGAAGTCTGTAACATACCTGGCTAAAGGAAGGACAAGTGTGGAAAAATTACTGCTTGCAACCATAGATAGACTTACTTTGGAGATAGACTTACCTTTGCCAGCGTTCCTAGGAGGAAGAGGAGGAGCATCAGCAGTTGGAGAGGTGGGTGAATCTGTGCTTGTAGAAGCGAAGATCTGATTGGTAAAAGCTCCATAGGAGAGTCTCTGCTTGTCTCTGGGAGTGCTAAATGCAGGATGAGTCAGTTTCTCTTGAGGAGAAATGCTCGAAGAGTGACAGAAACTTTGGGGTCTTGGAGATCTTTCTTTTTTTATGGGACTAGGCTGTGAACAGAAAAATGAATGCATTATACATGTGTAACCAGTAGATATAGTTAATGTGTTTGGGAGAAAAGTTAACAGAGCATAATCTAATGAACCGAGCATAATTTCTTTCTTTAATGGACCAATAAGCCCATATTCCTCCTCTTCATGATCCACTGATTCTCTCCTCTAAACGAAAAATAAAGATTGCAGCATCAACACATCATCATGTACACAAAGTTAGATTTATCCTTAAATAATACACAATAATAATATAATAAATAATATACCAATAAAAGCCTAGTGAAGTTTTTAGAGTATAAGAATAATTTTTCAGTTCAAATAGTTCTTTACTCACACAAGACAGTTATCTCGAAGATCAAGTATATTATCCCACTGGTGCATATTAAAAACAGCCTCTTTTGGCACAGCAGATTTATCTGTTGTCTGAACTAGCAATATATTCAATGGTACATCTCTTTTAAACGTATCTAATTGCTCTTTGAAGAAATTTTACACAGCAATTTTTAAGCGCTGCATGTTAATTGCTGTATATGGAGCACGATCTGTTTTACTGCAGCTCTGGTTCAGGCTATTATCTCCCATACAGCATTTGTTATCCTCCTGAGGCTTCTTGCACAGATAATCATTTTGTTCTCTCCTGTCCTTGAGGACATGTAAATCATTTTGGTTTCTGAATGTTTCAGTCCCAAGTGTCACAGAAAATGAAAAGTTGACCACATTTCCTTTCTACAGCACCCGGAGATACAGAGGTGTCTATAGAGATATAGAGAAATAGGAGAGGAGTGTTCGCATTTATTACTGAAACAGAGCACAGAGTAATTAACTGACTTGCTAAAGTAGGGCACAGAGGCTAAGTTTTCACACATTCTAGGGTGGCAATTATCCTGTGCCCTCAAGTTTTGTCTTTCTGTTACTTCTTAATCAGAAATAAAGTGCACAGCACAGTTTTTGAAAAATAGAGCTCTTTATTCAACAACTCGGGTTTATTAATTTATGGAAAAAATAAATATGGAAGCTTTGGATTTCCTCCAGCTAAAAATTAACAACCTACAATTAAGCAAATAAAATGGCAAAGTAATAAGTAATCTACGTTTACTGATTTCGATTAAATTGTATGTCTTGTCAAAGCAAAACCTCTGAAGCTGAAGTCCATAATGACTAGGCTGACAAAGTCAAATCAAAAAGCACTTTGGCAACCTTTAATATAAGCCTCAAAACTAGCTTTTGCCCCATCCAATAAAATCTGTAAGGAAAAAAAATGTTCAAGTGGGTCTGTAATTTCCATTCATGTCCACAGAACAGAAATTGTCAGGTTTTGTGCAAATTCCCCGCTTACTTTATCATCTAAGTCATCATCGCTTTCATCAATCTCTTCCTGCCGAAGATTCCATTCGTACTCTACATGAACGTGTGGGTTTAACTTTCCTGCCTTGGCTTGAGAAAGCTGAAAGGAAGAACGGTTCTTGTTAAAATATTTGCTGTTCCTTTGGTGTCAGTGAAGTCTTGTATCAGCAAGCGATGAGCTGAAATATTTAGAAGTTGAAAACTTTTCCTGACATTAAAAAAAAAAACAACTTCGGGGCAACTCACACATTAACATCTTTCATTTAGTTGAGGTATAGAGAACCAGCCAAAAGGCAGAAGAGGAAATTTTCTCCAAATGGGTAGCAGTTGCCACGTTTGACAAGCGTTTGACTAGATGACAAGAAGAGAAGGTACAGGCACAAAAGCAGAAATGCACTTGGAGCCCTCCTTTCCAAGAAGGGAAGGCAGAACCTACTTATAAGTTCTGGTACATATAGAGATTATCCCTCCAAAGTCACAGTCCTTGTGCTGAATAGAAATAAAGGGTATTTACCCTTTAGTAAAGTATATCTCTCCCTCACTGGATGAGGCCAATGTGTCTTAAGCACAAAATTCCTCTACTTTGCCATTTCAAATCATGTACTTCGATTCTTTAAAAACCCACTACTTCACTGATCAGCAAACCCCAGAAAACTGCAGTTCATGGTAGATAAATTTTCTTTCTTAACACTTAGATTTCCCATTATCATTACTATGAGTCTACGATATTTGATAAGTCATCTATTTGGTACTGCTTGATTCAGGAGAGCCTTAACCATCTTCCTGAAATAAAATTTGGATCAAATTATTTTCCATCCATTATATAAGTATTCATGAGTTCACTTGAGCTGAAATTGAATTACACAATCAGGACTCCAGCTATGCAAGAGAAATTTGCTTTGTATATCTACTGTACGGCAAACCTCTACCTATTTATTTTGTAGGTTTTTATTGCCCATGGCAAGCAGTATGATTATTCATATTTTCATTTTTACTCTTAACGATATCTCATTGCCAATTTTGAGAAAAATGCAGGAATATTTTTTCTATTAACAAAAACAAAAGAAAAAAAAGAAAAAATGCTCTATTACAGTTAATCACAATAATCAGCATGGTTTGGGTTGGAAAGGACCTTAGGATTATGAGGTTCCAACCCCCTGCCATGGGCAGGGACACCTTACACTAGACCATGTCACCCAAGCTTCTGCCCAACCTGGCCTTGAACACTGCCAGGGATGGAGCATTCACAACTTCTTTGAGCAACCTGTTTCAGTGCCTCACCACCCTCACAGTAAAGAATTTCCTCCTTATCTCCAATCTAAACTTACCCTGTTTAAGTTTTAACCCGTTACCCCTTGTCTTATCGCTACAGTCCCTGATGAAGAGTCCCTCCCCAGCATCCTTACAGGTCCCCCTTCAGATACTGGAAGGCTGCTATGAGGTCCCCATGCAGCCTTTTCTTCTCCAGACTGAACAGCCTGAACTTTCTCAGCCTATGTTTGAATGGGTGATGCTTCAGGCCCCTTTATCATCCCTACAGCCTCCTCTGGACTTGTTCCAACAGCTCTACGTCCTTATAACCAGTGAGGTATTCCCAGAATTTTGATTATAATAACTGAAACTATTAGGTGCTAGATAAGCTCACTGATCACATCCACTTTTTTTTGTTTTGTTCTACAGCACAATCAGTTGGTCCACATTAACAGCAGATGCTATTCTATTAAATATATACTGTAAAGAAAAAAGTAATCCATACCAATTGTATGTTGTGTGGCTGATCTGGTTTTCAGCTGACAGAAACACTGTCAACAGTAGAAACAGTCAGAACATTGGAAACGCAGTGTACTTACTTACACAGGAGACATGGGAGTAATAGAGAAGGCAGTGAGAGCACCACCTCGTCAACCTCAGCAAAACGTTGACTTGCATCCCCAGAAATATGGAAAATTATTGTGATTTCTGAAGGACAAGCCCTCTTGATTTTTCAACAATTAATTAATACATGACAAGAACTTTCAATTGTCAAATGAAAGGTATTAAAATTACCAGCTGCAGAGCAGAAGTAGATATCCTCCTTGGTTCATCAAAATAAAGCAAAACTGTTCTGAGAAAGAGAATTAAGCAAATGGCAGCTGTTTTGTAAATTCTTCTGGTTCTGTGTTGAATGTGAAATCACTTCGACTGCTTAGACTTCTTAATACCTTGGCAGTACTTAAACTCACTTGCCTATTAAACGCATGCTGGTGAGAGGCACTTTAGAGGGCTAAGAACAAACAAGCTCCTTAGTCTGATGTAGAATCCATATTTTTGGCTAACTGCTTCATAAGAGTACCTGAGAAAATCCTTTAACACCTTTAGTTCCTGAATGCCAATAGGTTTCTTGAGTGGCATCTGTTAACATTCCTTAAATATTCTCAAAATTCCAGAATGCTTTTGCTCTGATCATGTTCAGTAGAGAGACAAAGTCCAACAGAAGCTGGTGTTCTACATTTTCTGCTACCCTAACTTCCAGACATTACACTTTTGCCTCTCTCTACCACCTGTTAGGTGGTTTCAATTTCAAGTTATTTCTATTCTGCTTGTAAGATGACTTTCGTCATCTCTGAACTATCTGCCCTGTTAAAGTCATCTGGGAAAAGCCAAAGCAGGAAAAGTCAAAGAAAGATCCAGACCAAAAGGATCTAAAGCAACTCAAAGGTCTTGACAGATTTGAATTTCTATCAGAAGTACAGAGCAACCTCTGAAACGTCTCTAAGAAGAACTTTCAAGGTGATGAAGCCCAAATGTCCTAGAACTGGTATTAACTGGTATTCAAATACCTGTTTGGCAGGTACAAAAGCCCAAACAAAGCCGTGATCAAAGGCCACAGAAGCTTTTTCTCACAGACAGCATCCCAGGAGAGCTCCCATGTGCACAGCTCTTTTCCCACACACATGGTGCTGGCTGATTGGTGCAGGGGCAGGAAGTTGGGTCCTGAACCCATGGGTGTACAAGACCACATCTGACAACAGCTCAGATCCGACCAGGGCAGAAATGGAGCCCCTTGGGGCAGCCATTTGTAGTTGCTCCTCCTCAGAGCAGCGTTGCCTGCAGTCGGGGACTCTCCTCTAGGTCAGGATGCTGTCTAAAGGAACTCCTCAAGGTGAGTGATTGCACATTTTGGATCATGGATTGCACATGAACTCCTTTTAGGTGAGCGATTGCACATTTTGGATCACTTGCCATAAAGTTGAAGAGTCAGCAGTATCGTAACAAATCCATGTGAAATCCCAAATCTGTAGTTAATGTTGGTGGAGCTTTAATTGAGTTTGAACAATAACTTTAGTTTAGCTTCAATTTATTGGTTCTGTGACAGCTAGATTCTAAAGTATTTAGGGTTTGGTTAAAATAACTAACTACTTCCAACACAAGATCTTAAACTCTTACAAAGAAAACAACTCTTGCGTTTTGAAGTTAGAAAATGTTCATCTATGGTAGGACCTTTAGCCTAGCATACAGCCAGCTCACAGCGATAGATAGTCTGAGATACAGTGGAAACATCACATCTTTAAACATACAAACATCCCCCATCCTTCTTCCCCACCCCGCTTCTTACCAGTTCCTCACACTGGACAGCTTTCACTCTTTTTGCTGTGTCCAGAGCAGTCTCTCCAGCTTGGTTGACTACAAAATTAACAATAAAACAAGACAGTGGTTCTTTGAGATGATTAAGGACTCAATTCAGTAAGTTTCAGTATTTTTAGCAGAGTAACTTCTAAAAGTGATCAAAAACATCTATTTACTCTATAGCAGCTGCAGCTCTTTAAGATTCCAGTCTAAGTGCTCATGCATTTTGTGTATCATCAGGTTCTTTCTGATCAGCAGCATCAGCTGGGACACTTCCCAAATCCTTCCTAACCATCCTAGCAGAGAATATAAAGAAATTTAGTCATTCTCCACTCAACTCCTTTGCCAGTAAAACTCTTACATGAATAAGCAGGAAAAGCAAAGCTTTAACAGCTTACAAAAGAAAACTATTTTAAGATTTTAGAAACCAGTAAATGTTGATCCAAGCACCTTTTACTTTGATTAGTATGTAGTGGTTTGAAGCCTGAATTTGAAGACAGAAATCCTATTCTAAGATGACATTTGGATAAGAATAATTTTAAAACTCCCTAGCAATTTCTTCTTTTTAAAAGCTGTAAAATGGTTTGCCTTTTTAAATAAGGCCTCATAAGAAAGAAGGTGGTATTTGACCACTCTGAAGGTCCTCTGGCACAACACCTAATGGGATCCTTCCCAGATGCTCAGTTGCAAGTCTCAAGAAAAGATCAAACCCCACATCCCAATCAGATGTGGACAAACCTTAGGTAAAATTTAGTCTTACAGTATAGTAGAGAATGCCATGGAGCTGGAAAAGAGTATGCTCCACATCACATCAGGATTGTAAAGAGTTTCTGTGACTGGGAACTGAAAACAGTCAAACTGAGGTCTCACAAGGAAATAAGTCTATCTGTAATATTACACACAGAATGCCAGTCATGAATTCTAGAAAATACAAACCCTGTGTAGAAAATACAAGGCCTAATAGAAAGGCCTATGAATTTGAAAGAATTAAGATTCCTAGAAAGAGGGTTCCTTATAGAAAGATCCAGGATGGCTCAGGAGTTTTAATATGGAAAGGAATAAAAACACAGTATTTAACTGAAGTGAGCACACAGAGAACTTAAAGAGACCAGCCAATTCCAAATTTCAATCTTTAAGTATAAACCTGATGGTTCAAGTCCTAAAGAAGATACGCAGTTCCTAAGTGAGAGCATAAAACCGAAACAAAACAAAGGCCAACAAAAAATAGAACCCAAAAGGGTACAAACACTATTCTGGCATCTACCTAGGAGAGAGTTCAATGGAAGGACCAATAGGCATGCTTAAGCTTGTGCAGACAGCTTTTACATTTTCTTAATGAAGGATATATCTGTTTAAAAAGGTTACAACAAATTCTTTGAGTTATGGTAATATTAGAACGTATTCTAAGGATGTATAAGAAGGCCAAGGAACCAGTGACTTCTGTCACCAAGCTATGAACTTAAATTTATGCAACAGCTTTTTAGAGGGCAGAGGAGGGAAATGATGGCAATAAGTAAAAAGGTAAAAAAATAAGTTTATCCTCTTCAGTTTGCACCAACTGTTCATAAAGCTGTGCTCCTATACCAAGAACTGACAAAATGCAAATGTTTCATAGACATGCTGATGAAACTTTGCTCCTGAGCCTGGATTCCTGGAATACCTTCTTTACTCAAAATATGGCAGTGAAAGGAGCGCATCTGTTAAACAAAAGATTATCCTAAGTGTAAGCAAACAGTTTACAGAGATTTTATTTTTAATTAGCTTTTGCTAAGCCATGATGAAAAATGGACTAGTTTAGGTATGGAAAGTGTTATACCTATTGCACACACGTGGATTGCAAACAGAGGGAGAAATGCAGCTGAAATAGCTAATCCCTTCCCTAATCACCTACAGTGGTGGCTGGGGCACTCTGGGTGAAGCCACAGTGACAATCGACATTAATATTAAAAGAAGAATTAACTGTTGTGTACAGAAAGCCCACCTATGTCTGAAGTGCAATTAACGTGAGCAGCCATTCGAAGCATTGTAACATACAGATAGTAGATGAATTTTACAATATAAACAATAAACCTAAATTCCAGGCTGTTTATGATGCATCAGAAAATATACATCAGGAAAGTTAGGCTTTGCCATTAGTATTTTATATGAGAAAATGTTTGCCACTGTTATCTTCTAAGAATTTAAGTTCCATTTCTTAACTGAACATCTTCTTTAGGCTTGTTGGTGGTAAAGTTGCCATCTTCCTAACACAGAAGTGGCTAAAATAATAGAAAGAAATGTTAGTATATCTTTTTTTCCTAGCTTTAAATAATGAACTTACCTACATCAATAGTTGGCTTCCCCCTCAAAAGCAATTTCAAACACTCAGGCTTATTATACATACTGCAGTAGTGTAGAACTGTATTGCCCAGCGCTGTTTGCTTATCCAGGTTTCCACTAAACACAAAAGAAGAAATAATCAAGAGACATCTAGTGTGCAGAGCTGTTTGTTTCAGAGCAAGCATCCCTAGCGGCAATAAATGCATTAATACTTTATGGGACAAATATGGAGCAGAAAGAGAAAGAAATATTTTTCAAGTTAAACATTACTCTCAAGGACTAGTAAGAATAGTTCCAAGCACACTGGAAATTCCTGAGCTGTGGTTGACAAGGACTGAGCATCTACAGGTGTTCATTGAAAAACCAAACAACAAACCTGAAGCTCAAGAGATTCAAACCTAATCCTTTATAGGGTCATGGCAGTTGGTTTTCACCCTTCACTTTACTGGCATTTCTTTTTCAAACATGCTAAATTAGCCTGATTAAAAATATGTGAGAAATCATTCTGATACAGTTAGAACACGCCAGTAAGTCCCACACTTCAAGGAACTACAAAGAGGGCAGCTGTGAGGCTGCGTAAGAGTGTCATAAGAAGGAACGGAAGGATACAAACTGGGAAAGACAAGCTGTGCAAGGGGGTTCATAGGGCTTTTTAAAACTGTTCTCTCTTTCCATTTTCAATTTCTGAAACAAGGTTTCTTGAAAAAAGTCATGACATACTGAGATCAATTTAATACATTTATAAAAATGAAAAGCTCAGAAAATGACAGCTTTACTTCCACTCAGTATTACCCACACTGAACAGTAAGTGCAGAGCCCATATGGATGTAATGATGCTCTTAAATTTGAGATTGAGACAAAACTACAGACAGCTGACAAAAACACATAAAGGATGATAGTTATAGAATCATAGAATCACAGAATTGTTTGGGTTGGAAAGGACCTCAAGATCATCCAGTTCCAACCCTGCTGCCATGGGCAGGGACACCTCACACCAGACCATGTCACCCAAGGCCCCGTCCAACCGAGCCCTGAACATTGCCAGAGATGGAGCATTTACCACTTCCTTGGGCAACCCATTCCAGTGCCTCACCACCCTCACAGTAAAGAACTTCTTCCTTATATCTAACCTGAACTTCCCCTGTTTAAGTTCAAACCTACCACCCCTTGTCCTATCACTACAGTCCCTGATGTTATGAAGCTTCATAGTTTCTTCACACAAAACAATTTTACATAATAATCCAAAATAACAATTCCTTTAATATTACTCAGAATAATAATTTGGGCTTCTAAAAACAGTTTTCAAATTATGACCTCAGCTTGTAAATAGTAATAGCTTATTTTTTACTGTATTTTGTTTTTTACTTTAAGAACACTCCTACAATAGTCAGCACTCCATTTAACATGAGGGAGTATCAGTAGAATAAGTTAAAGCAAAGGTTACACAGCTAGTCCACAGAGCCCAAGAGATAGTGTCAGGAACATCATTTCAAGTCTGTGCTGTTATCAGAAGACCAAACCTTCTAACACTCCCTATAGACAATGCTACATAAACTATTAGAGAGGGGAAAGAAAAGAACCAAGTATTCACTGACTGCGCTTCAATAGCAGGAAGGACTCCCCTTGCTGAAGGAGTTGTGATGAGTCTTCTGTGTTTCCCCAGTCTTCCTCTCCTCATTCTTCAAAACCCACCACATAACACAGCAAGTGACTGCCACTTCCTTTGCTTCATGGCATACCGGAGAGGTGGATTGGAACTAATTCCAGCTAATGTTTAACTATGTTGTGAACCATATGAAAAATTATGTTGTACCATTTGATTTTTTTAAGTGTTTCCACTTCTGTGAACACATCTCTTAACAACAAAGAATAGCTCAGCCAATAACCTAGATGTTGAAAATTAGTAGTTAAGAAGATCAGGCTGTAAATAACTTTAATAGACTTTATTAACTACCATAACATCTTTTTTTGAAGTCAATCTATCTTCTACTCATAAATTTGAGACATAGCCTTGTTTTCTACTCTTGCTATTTCTTTGCATGTGTCCTGTATTCAGAATGCTTACTTTGCCACCTCTCCTTTACCTGAACTATTCATCTGCATTGTTTCATAGCAATAATGTTATAGTGATATAAATCAGTCTCTCTTTTGCTCTACATAATTTTTCTTTTCATCCTATTGTATAACTGCTTTCCATGTTTTAACCTACACTTCTGTCCACACTTAGGAACATAAGGGTCAACTCAAAGGTATTAAAATTATGCTCTTTTGAAGCATATCTAAGGAGAATGGAAGTGATAGGCAAACACTGTCCAAAGCACTGCATGGCTAGCTTTGAACATTTACATTTTTCATACATAATGAAAATCAATCCATACCAGTTTTGTACAAGGAAGTCAACCAGATGGAGAGAGGTTTGGTCAGCAGTCCGGACTGCTAAATGAAGTGCTGTTTCACCTGGCTCCTAAACACACAAATAGAAGTTAGATTTTTGTGTCTTATTTCTGCAAAGCTTGTAATATCAGACCTACAAGATATATGTCAATTAGTCTTTTACAAGTCTTTCAAAGGAAAAATGTTATTAGGAAATTATGATGAAAATAGTTATTGCCTTTCTGGACCCTTAAAAGACATCATGTGCTTCAAAGGAAACAGCATCACACTTTGACATCACAGGTTCGTCAAAACCTGTCTTCTCTTTTTCCCAGCTGGATAGAACAATCCTGAAGAACCTTTAACCATTTTAGCTACTAGTAACTAGAACGGATCCTGTCAAGGAATAATGAGTGAGTTCATGTATTTGTTGCTTTATGACACCTTGGTGAGGACCAAGCATACCCAACAACACTATTTCCTACAAAACCTGGGAAAATCCCCACCATAATCACAGTCCTACCTACATTAAATCCCTTACAGAATCACAGAACAGTTGAAGTCGGAAGGGACCTATGGAGGACATCTGGTCCCACTTCCCTTCCCAAGCAAACTGGACTTGGTACTCCAGCTATGGCCTTACCGGCACTGAGTAGAGGGGAAGGATCACTGCCACCAACCTGCTGGCAGTACTTAGCCTACTGCAGCCTATAATACCATTGGTTTTCCTTGCCGCAGGTACGCACTGTTGTCTTACATCAGCCTGGTGTCCACCAGGACCCCCAGGCCTTTTTCTGCCAAGCTGCTTTCCAGCTGGGTAGTGCCTAGCATATACCAGTGAATGGGGTTGTTTCTCTCCAGATAATAGGGCTTCTCTTCATGAATTTAAACAGAATACACTTCATTTTCTATACATATAACACAAGCATTTATGCATTTATATGACAATGTAAGTTCTGTTTAATTCAGTTTCAAAGTTGATGAGGAATTAATCTAAAATCAGATCTCATTAACTCCTACTGATCAAAAGGGGCATTAAAAATATGTAACAGTACACATACTTAAATCACAACTTTAACTAAAAAGACTTATCAAACATCAGAGAATTTACAGTGCATAAATGTCTTAACTGCAGCCCACATTTCAGTTGGTGCTCACACCTGTCTAGGTATCATTGGCGGTACCAGCTGAGAAATGCTAAGGAGCTAATTCTGTGGTAACTGCTAAGGATGATAAATATAGGAAGTTCACCTTGTAGACAGAGAATTTGTAATGTGTTTCTATGATAAGCAATCTGTGATATTTCAAGTGCTGAGACTATATTGAACTCCCTTCACTCGATACAGACAGCCACTCTGCCCTTTGCCAAGGTAGCTATTTCCACAGAACTTGTTGAAAACTTTTTCTGAGATCGCTCCAAGTTGTGTCCAAAAGTAATGGGAGAAAACAACTGGTTGCACAACAGCAATTGTCTACAGAAATGTTACACATTGTGCTTTTTTTCTACATGGATGCTCCAGGTCAACCTGGACTGATTTTTCCATAAAGCTGTCACTGGCTTTAGAAGGAAGATCAACTATTCAGAAGTTTATTAAAAATAATAAATGAATCTGTCTTCCTGCTTGAAAGAAATTGTACTTCTGTAAATGTTTCATCAGAAGCTCTGAAGGCATCATATTTTCTTTCCTCACAGAGAAACAGAGACTTGTGTACAGTCATTAATGTGTTCCTTCAACATCTACTTCAAAAGCAGATATGATATTGCTTGTGGTATCAGGTGAGCCAGGGTTATCAAGACAAGCCCTCTCTTTCTCTAGGCCTTATCCTAAAGAAACACACTGCAGAGTAGGTGCTGTCCAACACAATAGTTGCACCTAGAACAGTATGATAAGTACTATTACATTTCACCGTCCTTCAGAGGATTTGACGACAAGTGATATGTCTTCTTCCCTCCCCACAAGGATGCCAAATTAAGGAAAGGAAGAAAACCCTACCATTTTAATCTGTTATTCCTCTTGTTTTAGCATCTAAGAGAGCAGCTACAGTCCAAGACATTTTACAAATACATTAATTAAAATACTCTGCTTTGTTTACCTGATAAGCTTACCTGTCCAGGCTCTAACAGTGGCTCCATTAGCTCTACCCCCTCTGCATAGACTTGAATTAGTGCAAGTAAATCCCTGGATTTGACAGCCTCAAGTAATTCACTCAGTTTAGCTGCTGCAGATGCACAAGTCTTCCTGGAGAACTTATGATCCACATATTTAGCAGTGATAAATTCTTTACGTGCAGTCCTGTGGGTATGAAAATAGAGCTTGGTTTAGAAATACTTAGAAAAATGGGTCAATGACTTAAACTCACCTTGCCTAATTCAGGAGCTGAGAAGGGAAGAAGAAAACTACTGATAAAGATGTTATAATGCATGTCTGTCTTGCAAACAAGCCCCAAACAAGGCACATATTCAATTTTATCCTGCCTTCTTGTTACATACAAAAATTACCCTGACTCTGAGGACTAAGACCAAATAAAAAATAAAGCTTCATGAAAACATGCCTGTCTGTTTAAAAAAAGGATAAGCATGAAAAAGATGCTAAAAACAGGATAAAAGAGAAATACTTAATGAGCTAGAAATCAACATAATAGGTTAAAAAGCTTTCTGTGGCAAAACAACATCTGTGATGCTCTCTGTGCAGCTCCAACACCAGGGAAAGGAAGAAAAAGCTCATCTCCATCTCAAGACAGTACCTGAAGCTGGTGTCATTTAGTCTAACTGTGTCTCTCCCCTGAGGAGATGCTACAAAACTCAAAGACTGCCAAGATTCGAAATAATGAATCTTGAAACCCAAACCTAAAGTTTTCTACACCAAGAAGCTGTAGCTTAAATGTGACTGCATACAAAAGACTGTACTTCTAAGAAACCCTATAGGTGGAGTAAAAAATCCCTTTCTTCTGCTATCCCAGCCCTCCTCTGGCTTGGTTACTCTTTAAGACATTTTACATCACATATATATTCCACAGTAAACTTAATATTAAAGAATTTAAAGATTCTAAACTTACATATCACTTGATGGAGTGGGTTTAGGTGAAGGACTAGGTAAATTCCCTTCCATAATATCATTAAAACTAGTATTTCCTACATTCTTGGCCAGCTGCAATAAGAAAAACAAAATAAAATATACAACAACCTGGACTATTAATGTGCATTTTCCACCCTATTGCTAAAAGATGGAACACAACAAATTGCAGAATAAAAGCAGAGCTATTACACTTATAAAGAATTAAAATTTTTAAGTGTGAATCTGATCATCCCAGGCACTGCTGCTGTATTTGAAGACAATCTACCTCCAGCATAAGAACAGAATGAGGAACTGGCAGCACGAACACTGAAACAGTTCTAGTACACTAATCAGGAAGTTACTTTTGGAAAGGAGCTCGGACCTAGTGCAAAGTCACACTTAGTAAAATTTGATTTAAATCACTACTAACTTTGAAAGCAACTCCAGATTTCAAAAACGCTTCTAGTGCTAATGTTAAACCACACACAAATCCAGAACCGCCTTTTATCTTCTCTCAATTTTCCCATACAAAGTTTCTGTGACAAGTGTCTTCTCACACACTAAACACAGCTGAGGAGATAAACTTGCTGCAACTGTGTTTTTTCTTTCTTTGTTTCTTGTTTTGGTTTTGTTTGTTTTAGCTTTAGTAGCCACATCAAATTCCTTGAGTAACTTTAACCTTACAGGGTTTCTTCCATAAAATTAAAAGATTAACCTAACAATTTTCTGTCAGAATTAGCAATGGTCATTCTCACTTTTCAAGTTCAATTAGCTTTCCTTTTCTTTAATTACATGAGATTTTGGGCTGTTCTGACTTAAGGTCAAGATCAGCTAATGAGAGGCAAAATCCTGATGGCACTACTGTCAATAATCATTCTGTAAAACCTCCAGAAATTAACATCAGACGTGACAGATGCTTAAAAGCATCAATAACACATAGTAGAAAAAAACCTCCTGTAAGACAGATACAGAAATGTGAAGACAACATTCTGCAAAACACATACCTTGAAAAAATTTAACAGTAAATTATACACCTGAATGATACCTGTATCCAGAACGTCTGACTAGAAAATAATAAAATAATCCAAATTAAAGGAACTTACCAAGAGTTCAGACGTTCCTAATTTGTCTAATTCCAAAGACTGGATTCGAGAAATATGGACACCCATTTCTCTGTGTATTCCAGAACACTCAATGCAGGTTAAAATGCCCAAATTAGTTGATAGCCATGTTGGATCTGTAGGATTGCAAAACAAAGTATTTAATCGAAGTCCAAGAAAAGTTTTTCAATGGTGGTAAGAAATCCCAATGCATTCTGAAACAATTCCTCATTTAATGCTTTAACAAATAGAAATAAACTAAGAATATTCCATTCTTTTCTCCAAACCACAATGCAAATTTAACCACAGATTGATACCAATGGAATTAAGCTTTTCAGATTTAGAGCCAGTCCCAAAGGCACTGAATTCAAGATGTACAAATCCATACTGAATGACTGTATTTGAATACATTTAGGATTTGTTTCTTGTAGAAAGTAAGGCCTTTGCTTCTTATTCTTAAAAGGAACAGATCTCCTAAATTCCACTGTTGGCAACAGTTTTAATCTTTACATCTTAAATTTTAAATAGTCTTTCTTCATAAAAGATTGACTATAGCCTTTTTCAATATGTAAAACAGTAATATGTTGAACATTTTAGTAATGCTGGCTAGTCCAGGTCAGAAAAATACTGCTGTCATGGTAGGAGATCTGCAAGTAATGTGAGAATAGATCTTACACTATGAATGCTACATAAGAAGCAAGACCAGTTTTTAAGGAAAAGAAAAAGCTCCAGACATATTTCCAGACACATACATGTTTTCAAATTAATCCCTTCCTTGATCTTAAATAGTAACTGACAAAGCATTAAGTCAGGAGTTTTAAAGCAGCAAGCTGGGGTGCAGAAGTGAAGCTTAAAACTTCACAAAATTATATTCCACTTTGCATTTTTTATCTAGGTATTTCCTATTTGGATCAGTTCTACATCAGTTAGCATCTTTAAGATACACACTATCTACTCAGTTCCAAACGAACACCACCTTCATGAACTACCTCTTCAGATGTGAAAGCTGTAGCAGCTGCCAATTACCATATCAGTTCAGTAGTACTTTGATGATTTGACTCATCTTTAGGTTTAAGTGACATGTAACTGACCTGTAACTCTGCACTTCTGAATATACTATCTGAGAGGATTTCAACTCTGGGTCTCATTCTTTGCACAAGATTGGGTATTTTTGCTACTGCAGTTCCAATAGTCTCATGCCAAAATAAAACCTCAGAGTAAGATCCTGGCCAGGTCAATTTTTCCACAATCATTGTCTAAGCATTACTCACTTCTACTTAGTAGCATGCACAGGATCAGTGATGCCAAGCAACTTCCATTCAAGTGCAACAAGCATCTAGAGACAGTGCAACAAGAACAGTTCAAACTCCAGAGGGGCTTGAACTGCTGGAAGTAAGCACAGACAACACACAAAAATATTTTAGTGAATTAAATGGAACTAATGTATGAAAGCTGTATTTGTTCTTTTAAAAACAGGCTGAAGACTGATCAACACATCACTTAGAAAATTAGTTTGCACTCTACAAACACATCTCTAAAGAAATTACTTTGCTTCCAACAAGAAGTTGATGACACGAACAAATTGAGATACCTGGTGAGCCACAATCACAACAGACTTCATTTCCGGGTAATCTCTGTATGTCATCAATAATGGCTTTTGTCAGATCCTCTAAACTGTTCTCCCCTGTGCTCTGCTCTCCACGGAATGCCATATTTAATGCTTCTTCTTTGCTGTTAGTCAATACTGATATCCATCTAGCACAAGATAAAGACCTTAATGAAGATCTGCATTTGCAAATACAAGTTAACCTATAAACCATAGAAAGCTTGCCAGGAACAAAATATTAGTGGGAATATAAGGAGGGATTGTACTGTGGGAGATACTGAGTGGGAGGAAAGTGAGAGGTGGAAAGATTTGAGAAAAAGTAATAAAGAATGAGAAAAGGCAAAGAGAAAAAGTCTTAATTCTAAAATCCCTTTGATGAACAATTTAGAGCCAAAGCAGCAGTTCTCATGTTCCTCAAATAAGCAGACGCTGTGGAAGAGAAAGGGTGCCATTAAGCTCCTGTAAACTGCTTTAAAAGTAGGTGTCTAAGATCTTCCTGAAATCTATCCCATTACTGAAGGAGAAAACTGCAACCACAACTTTCTCCAGCGTGCATCGCTCTTCACAGAGAAGACAGCAAGCACATTTTTAATGTGCTAATGGCTAGTTGCCTTTCAAAATGCGGGTCTCGGCGCACTCAGAGTCAGACTGTAATGACCAAATTAATGAAAACTGCCATGGCAACAAATAGCTAAACAAGGGAGCATGGCAGAGGAGTAAAGATACTGAGAGCTAACAGAAAATATTAAGAGCAACTGTTGAATGCAGCATATCAAGACTCTTCCATCATATTTCAGACAATGGCTTCCCCCGCTCCCAACCACTCTGCAAGGTTTTGTTTATACAATGATGTTTTAAATGAAAACTAACCCAAAAAATCCCTCCCAGGGGATGCTGCCCTCCAGGTGGAAGTATAGAAGGAAAAGCAGTGACACTAAGGACAAGCATGTTGCAGATGCTCTAAGTGAGGCAGCACTGCAAGTTAAAAATAGAAACCCTCCCAGGTACAATGATTTTAGATCTACTGCAAAAACACATTTTTTACATAGGAATATTTTAAACTGGCAGTGTCCTCACATTTCCTGTTTACAATATTCCAGTTATCTGCAATCACCAATCTGCTGAAAGGAGTTGAAATGGCTGTGGTCATCTAAGCAAACCAGACTGAGGTTCATCATTTCTCATTAATAATGAAAAGATAAACTTTAAAAGTATTTTAGAAAGGATTTCATATACATAATCTTGCAATACAGATTCAGAGCTTGAACTGTATAGAACTGTATATACATATATATGTTAACTATATATACTGTATATAATAACTTGATATGCGTACATTTTTAAATCTAATGGACAAAGAATAGTCTGAGAAGTTGGATTTACAAAACAAAAAATGCTTAAATTATTTTTAAAAAGTCACCCTCAAAAATAAGAGAAAATTAACAAATTAAAACCAAGTTTGCCCCATAGTTTATATGCTTAAAACAACGTATTTCCATTATCTCCAGTTATATGATAACATACAAGAACCCACACTAGATGGCATTCTTCTGCAAGTTTTCTAATGACATCCAGGGTTATTAACAAACTCAAGAGGCAGCACTGTCTTGATTCTAATATTACAGTAATGTTTGGTTAAACAAGCAGTAAAATAATCATTAAACTCAGAAGACAACACTTATTCCAACATTTGTTGACAATTTCTGTCAGGGTTACAGTTTGATTAGTTTGTTAAAAAGGCAGAATTTGAATAAAACTCAACTATGCAGGAACAATCAAAAAAATATTAGATGCCATTAAAAGAAACACAACATGACTGAGCCAGCTGTTAGTTTGATACAGATTTCCATATTACGGGTTTCTAAACTGGAAGAGCGGTAGCTTATTTTGGTCGTGCTTCCTCAGCTAGAGGGAACCCCTGCCCAAGGCTGCTTGGCACTGCTGTGTCAGCTTGCCCCAGACAGCAGCAGCAAGGCCCATTGAACACAAGCACAGCAACAGACACATTCTTAATGACTGGTGCTAATTATCCAGGTCCCCCGTTGGTCACCTGGCCTTCTGGCAGGCTGTACACTCAAACAACTCAAATCAATAAAGATATTAATTCAATGTCAATAGCTTATAAAAACTGCCTTATGGCTGCTGTTCTTTCTCTTTTTCTTACATGTACAAGCCTCCTTTTCCCTTCATTTTTTAAAGATGTATTTGCTTTATTTTATACCACCAGTGTCAAGGTAATGGTCAAAAAACTTCTGGTAATACCAAGGCCAAGCTGGATGGGGCCTTGAGCAACCCAGTCTAGCAGAAGGTGTCCCCTGCCCATGGTAGGGGGTTGGAACTGAATGATCTCACAGGTCCTGTCCAACCCAAACCATTCTGTGATTCTACTAATACTTTGTATTGTTCTTTTAAATAATTTAAAATTTACTCAAGTCTTAACAGATCCACTTTGTCTTCTACCAAATCCAGTAAAACAGGTTGTCCAATCTGCTACTACACTTCTCTTTCTGGATCTCTGCAGTCTTACGATCCTTTAAGGCACTCTGTTTGCTGGAGATTCAGTGTTGAAGAAAATCATGAGGCTAAACAAAAACCTGGCATCATGGGTGACTTCTGGATCCAATGAAGGAGACGTATTCATTAGTTTTGGGTGGATTAGTCCAGTATTTCTACGCCAATAAAAGCTCCTCCTTTCCCTCCCCACCAAGACAACAATCAGTCTAACAGTTATTTCAGTTTGCAATAAAGGACTGTGTCTCTTCTGACAATCCCTACTGCAGCAGTGTTATTTCCAGGTAAATGCATAAACAGAACAAGAACAGCATAGTATTTTTTCCAACATTCAGAAACAACTTTTTTTGTATGGAAGAAGCAGCAGAGAGTATCAAGACCTTCCCATTCCTTTGGTATTCCCAAGGTAAAAAACATCTGAAGATTGTTGCTAAACACTATACTGAAGTTAGATGCGTGTTTCTTCATAGCAGAAATTTGGAATAGCTTTGTAAATATTCCAGACATCTCCTACAGAAATCAAGATACTCTTGGGCTTCAAAGAGAGTAGAAAAGAATGAAAATGTTTTATCTGGAGCATATTTGGCCCTATCCGCAATTATCAAATATCCAATATCAAATATCCAATTATCAAAGTAGAAAGTATCTCTTATTGCAAATGTTAAAAATAACCTGTTTTTTTAGAGATCTGAGGTTCCATTTCTCATAATATACACAAATATATATATATGCACACAGACATACCTCCCCCCTCTCCCCTGCACACACTGTACTATCTATTAGAGAAACTAATAAAACCCTCTGAGACTTTAAAGGCAGTCAAGCAGTAATTAAAGGTCAACATACACCTGGCTAGATAAAAATAAGAAACTAAAAAATAAACAAAAAATGCATTGAACTAAAGGCAATGTTTGAGGGGAAACAGTAACAAACCTGTAACAGAACATAGGTTTCACTGATTTGTATTTTAAACCATCTGTTTTATAAAATCATTATTAGTTTTATTTTTTAACTAGTTTGAGAACTTATTTAAGGAAGCAGTTTCAAATGCTCACTAGGAAAATGCATGCAAGGTCAATTAAACTAGAGTATAAATGATCTTTGCCTTTTTTCTCTATTTAGATTTATGGAAGGATTCTGATTCTATGATTCTATAATTTGAAAATCAGTTGGTGAACAAAGGAGAAAAGACAGAATGGAGGCAGCATTAAAATTGGGTGGACAAAACACACGACGGAGAAGAAAATGTCAACAGTGAGGCACACATATACAATTCAGGTGAAAACTGGAACAAGAGGATGACAACTATAATCAAGGAGCTACATCCCATAGCTCCTGCAGAACACTCAAATCAGTAAAATTAGAAGTCAAAGGGTGCTTTTCACATGACACCTTAGAGAATAAAGCAATTTAAGACTACTCAGTGGCTGCACAAGAAAAATAGACCATTTGGTTATATAGTAGTTTTTCACCAACACATTAACAGCCATTCTGGATCATGAACTTCAATTAACTAAAGATATTGCAGAAATTTTCCTAAAGAAAAAGAAAAGTAAGTTTCTATGTGCATCTCAAAGCAGATACCATTACTTGGGTCACTTAAGTAATCTTCTGAAACAGAACACTTGTCTGAGTAGCATTACAATACCTTTTTGAATGTGGCTTACAGTGCCAATATGGGCAAAATACACTTAGTTTGTGTGCATGTATTTCAGCACTTGCATGCAAATAATGCCTTCAGGCAAACAAAACTTCTTAAACTTGCATCAGCATTAAGATGCTACACTCCACTGTGCACTGCACTGGTGTGGCCCCACCTTGAGTACTGTGCAGTTTTAGAGTCTCAGTATAAGGAGGACATCAAACTAGTAGACTGTGTCTAGAGGAGGGCAACCAAGATGGTGAAAGGCCCCAGGGCAAGACTCTGGAGAAGCAGCTGAGGTCACCTGGTTTGTTCAGCCTGGGGAAGAGAAGGCTGAGGGGTGCCTTCATCGCAGTCGACACCTTCATCATGCAGCTGCAGAGAGGAGGAGCTGATCTCCTATCTCTGGTGAGCAGGGGTAGGAGACAAAGAAATGAGATGAAGCTGCACTAGGGGAAGTTCAAATGGGACATCAGAAAAAGGTTCTTCACCGAGAGGGTGGTTAGTCACTGGAACAGGCTGGCACCCAGGGACACAGTCACAGCACTGAAACTCAGAGCTCAAGGAGCATCTAGATGATGCTCTCAGTCATATGGTTTAGTTTTGGGGAAGTCCTGTGAGGAGCAATGAGTCGGACTTGATGATCCTGATGGGTGCCTTCCAACTTGAGATACTCTATGATTCTGTATTCCAGTACAAGCTATTTTTTCAGCCACTGGCCTTTGAAGTGATAAACCAGAATTCAGTGGTAAAAAAATGGAAACTATGCTTTTAACGGGAAACAAAACCAGCCTGGAATTTCAAAACAGGCCAACAGAGCTAGCTAAACTGAACTGATAGACCTGCCAATCAGAAGTACATCACTAATGTATTCTCCCCACCTTGCTCATGCGTTAAACAAAACGCTTGACCTTTTAAATCAACAAATTAGTAAAAACTAATTTATGGCAGAGACACAAAACCTTATGACTCACCAAATCCATTACTGATCAGAAATAACAGTGTTTTCTTCTTGACTGAGAACATTACTGGAATAATTAAGGTCCAGAATGACTGCATTAAGCATGACTAGCAGGTCAGCCTTGCACTCAAAGAGCCAGCATAAAGTTGTGGGAGACTCTGGAAGCAAAGAATTTCCCAGCCTCCTCATTTTACCCATGTCTCCTAGCGTTGAACTGTCAATGCCACTACCTCCCAACGCTACCAAACTGAAATACCCTATCAGCATTCCTTGCTCCTTTAAAATACACATGGAGCAACACCATCTTCTATTAGAATCTGGCATGTAACAAAAGAGCACAATAGGCCTGAAGAATGAGGCAGCCTGGAAGGCTCAGGCTTGCTGCTTTCTTCTCTAGAGCTGTCAGGTGATGAGCTTGTAACTTCCTGCACAACTCATGTTTGATAACAGAGAGAAATATTCAGGAGGAAAGAAAGTAGTACATAGTACATAGTTCTCAGGCAAGAAGTAGTTCTGTTCCAGCAGGAAGAAAGACTGTTTTAAAGGGAATAATCTGGTTGGAAACACATTAATGAAGCAATTTACTGGATTCTGAAGTACACAAATCTCACAGGTCTGTTTATTTCTAGGCCTACTGTACAAAAGATGCGTCACCTTTGTGTTATATGGAGACCTTTTCTCTATTTATCATTTTTAATTTAAAGGAAAAGGTGAGATCAGAAGGAAAAGTAGTAACTGCAAAAACAGAGGTTGACACAGAAGGCTTAAGAGCAATTAGAAAACATTTAATTTGCCCCTTAGTAACCTGATCTACTGGATCTGCCAAGCAACTGCACACAAACCACATGCTGGCAGGGTACACACCTAAATGGGGGTTTGGTTGGTTGGATTTTGTTTTGCTTTTAGTGTTACAAGGTTTTCAAAGATCCCCGTAGTGGGCACAAAATAGTTTACATTTACAGATTTACAACCGTAGGCACAACTTCTGCATTACTGGTGGTTGGAACTAGATGATCTTAAGGTCCTCTCCAACCTAAACCTTTCTATGACTCTATGATTAACTGAGAAATGTATTTCTACTGTTAGGTGTTATTTTTATATAGCCCTAATGGCAAAACATACTAAAAAAATTAGAAGTGTTCTTACGCTACGTATTCCTGTTCATCTTCTGCTTGAAAGTGGTATGTTCTGTTATCTGAAATGAGTAAATACATATTTTCATTTGGTACAATACATTCTAAAATAGCTACATATTTAGTAGGTTACTAAAACCTACTTGGCAACCAAAGCCTTGAAGAGCAATTGCAATTAAGAAGCAACATTAATACTTTATTTGTAGCTATGGATAACGATTCCAAGGGAAAAGTAAAAACAGAGAAAGGTAGAATAAGTGAATTTTGATTTATGTACATATTTCAAAAGTGTTATGTTTAGAAACACGAAAAATAAGCATGAGTCAAATTTTGCCCTTTTGAAGCAAAACCTTGTCACAAACAAACAGTATTGATATCACACACAAAACATCTTTGATTCATTTGTCCATTGAACCCATCTTCAAAACTGAAGAGATCTGCACACTTATGAAGCACTGCATGTATCCGGATACAGACCTGAATTTTGAACTATAGCCTTATTTATACTCAAACTATCTTATAATGACATTTTTGGCAATAATGCATTTGGCAATAACAGTGCAAAGCACTACTAAAATTGCTACATACGTGATATTAGATCAAAAGACTTCTTATCTTCAGCGTTTGGCTTCACCTGGCAGGTCAATAAATTCAGTTTAGCTGGTTGCCTGTTGGACTGAAAAGAAAACTTATTTTACTTTTAAAATGTCTTGATTTAGGATTATTTTCCTTTTCTGGGAGCAGGTATATGTGATATTAATTTAAAGTGTGGGCATGCATATATGTACATGCTTGAGACCTGCATGACTTTGTCTGACCTGGCTTCTCAGAATGGACAGATTGCTAAATCTAAACAAACCTAAAATCTTCACAGAAACTCTTTCTGACTATTTGAAAGGAATTAAAGGAATAAACCTAAATTTAGAGTATGCTAATACTGAAGGTTTACTTGTATTTCATAAACCAATGGTAAAACTATTACACAATTTTTCATTACAGCAAGTATTAAATCAACTGTCATAAGCTACAACAGTGGGGGAAAGAACTGAAGACATTTTGGAAGGCTAAAGAAGAGTTCACTTCGTGCAGCCCAGAGGAAGTTTTGAAATTAACTTCAAACCAGCCTTTAGCCTCATTTTCTCACTGATTAGTTGAACAATTTTAATTTCTTTTACAAAATGAATGTGCAGTCATTAAAATGTTTTAAACAGTTAACATCCTATGTAGGAATAAAACATCTATGACATCTACTTATGAGCTAATTATTGGTCTTCCAGTACAGCCAACAGCCAAAACTGAGTTTATAACAAGACATTTGATCAAATCTACCCAGATTCCTTTGACTGCATTGACCAGCTCTCGCCAGTGGCTGGGAGAGGTGCCCGCAGGATCTTGCTCTGATGCAGACAGCTACACTGCAGCCACTTCACTCTATTCAGCTGAATCGCATCCCATATCTTAAAGGTGTAGTAAGAACAGATGTACCTGTTACCATTTAATCTGAAGTTCTTACTAGAGGTCAGCAGCAGACAATTAGCAAAGAATTCAACAGAGCAAGTGGAACAGTACTTCCATACATCTGTCTCCAGCTTCTGGCAATCCACAGAACTTCAACAGTCAGAAGCAAAAATGGCATATTTTTTGTAATATTAGACTATTTTCATAAAAAGGCATAAAAATAACTTACCGTTGCATGTGATATGGTAAGAATTCCATTTTTAACAGTGCACTTTCTTCTTTGCCATACTTTCCTTAACCTAAAGAATAACATCAACAACAAATTCGGTAACTAGACATGACTTCAAAACGCATGTTCATCCCATCGACATTTTGAGATTAGCCTTGAGAAACAAACAGATGCAGTCAGAATCTTACTAAATGCCTCACCAAAAGCAAATCAGAAGTTTATGTCAGGTCTTAATCATTTTGCAGAGACTCATAGACAATAGCTTTCTTTTCAATGACTTTTGCTTTTTATGATTGCTTGACATGCTTTTTGCATTTACCATATGCAAGTCAGATCTGTCTTCAGATTTGAGCTGTGAAATTCTTGAGTACTTGTGGCACTTAAAAGAATGTGCCTTAAGCACCCACAGCAGAAAACAATAAAATCAGTGCATAAACATGGTACGAGTTCTCACTATGTACAATGTGCTCCAAGAACATACCCATCACTCTTCTTTAAAAGATAACCTTTCTTCTCACTACCATATTCCTTATTCCCCTGCAGCTGATGCATACTATATCCTCCTTGCCTGCTCTGTGAATCCTAAAAAAGAGAAAAAACACCATTAATGTTTCCTGACATGCACAGTAAGTTTTCCTAACTTTAAGCCTTTTTTATTTTATTTCTCTACCACAACTCCACAAATTCATGAAGATTTAAAGAGAACTCCTACAGCATGTAGGAGTTTACATGCATAGGAGAGCTTGCTTTTACGTCACTTGATCCTGAACTAACTGCATGTTCAAGATTCAGTTACTTCATTAGGCAAATATTCATCTCAAAATAATGACTTAAAATTCAGAAATACTGTATAATCTTAAAGAGTAAAATGCTAAGATAAAATTGCAAAAAGAAAGCAACAGAATATAGCATGCATATATACAGAAAAACACATCTATAAGCCAGAACCAAATACTAATCATCACTGGGGTTTTTAATCCAATTAAAAATATGCATATAAATCATGATGTTTAGTGCATTAAGTCACCTGCTTTTGGCCTGATCTAGTGAAACAATTGAGTGAAACAGATTAACTTGTTATAAGCTCATCAGCAAAAACAAATCCCCCAAAGTTCATTAAAACATTGACTTACTCTCCTAGACTTCGATCACGAAAGGCAAAAGGAACAGAGGGAAGAGAAAGCAAATAATTTAAAACAAGAATTATTATTTTATTTTAAAACCATGTTCCTTGAACATAAATTGTATAGTCCTCATATCTAGTAAAATGGTTATTCCCCTTTCTAACAGCAGTACTAGAAAGAAGGCAAAAATTACTCTTAGGCACACTGGTGCCTTTTCTCATCAAGTAACAAAACATCATAATAGAATCTGTGCAACCTTGCATATATGACATCGGATTAAAAAGCAACTAAGATGACTGAAGGAGCAATTCTTACTAAATGTCTTCCACTCTTCAATACATTTAAATTGTCTAAAGTGATAGCTAGACTGCATCCTCCACCAAACCGCAGCCAATTCTGAATTTCCTTCCATTGAAAAAGATCAGGCCCAAAGTTGGCTTTTAAATTTTTGCAAGTGTATATAAGAAGGTACCATTAAGGACACATTGACACAGTTTTAAATATAGCTGTGACACATTTATCTGCAAAATATCTGACAAAATCCCACAAAAACATGAAAAGAAGTTCCATTACTCCCTTGGCAATAACCTTTTCTCTCTCAAAGCAGTTTCTTACAATTGCCATAATCAATATATACTGAAGATTACTCCCTCCTATTTTATTCAGTGTCCTTACAACTGTTTTTTCATTTGGTAACAAATTCATAATGGTTGCTGAGAGAAGTGTTTGGTAAAACTGGCAGCTGTTGCTGGAAGCAGCACAATGGCTGTGTGCAATGTGCCATGTTTACGCTGCCACAATAAGCAGCTTTTTTATTACAAGTGTATTTCAAACCTCCTATTTGTATTAGCTTAGGAAAGAAGGAAATGAGATATAAGTCCTGTTCCAAGGAGTCCATCAGACAGACATTTGAGGAAAGATATCAAAACACAAAGAAAGAATCAAGAAAACAGACATGAAACATGATTCGAAACACTAGCTACATTCAGCTTAGAGCTGTTAATTTACATGTGTACCAATAATTAGCATACAAAAATAGGGAATAGAAGCCTGTATTTAAGGCCTGGTTTCCTTTAATATTTCAGCTTCTTAGATGTATAAGCACTCTTCAACATGCAAAATAAATATTTCATACAATTGAAGTTATATTAGTGCTCCTTAAAATATTTCCCCCCAAAACTATAAACCATAGTCATTTTACAAAGTCAGGTAATTCTTGCACAGAAACTGCCCTAAATGAATTCCGAGACAGTAGGCAGCAGCCACAAGAGACATTGCAGGTAACAGAGCCACCGTAAATTGTACTTCACACAGCAATGCTACAGCTCTAGCACTTCAGCACAACCTAAGATTCAAAGACTGCTACGATGTGATTTTCAAAGAGCCAGGTAATGGCAGAGATTTCAGCAAGGGAGGGACAGGTCTGCAGAACAATGTACATGAGCATTACAGATGTCCGTAATGCTAAATAAACACCTTCAATGCATGCAAGAGTGAAACAGGAGTTGCATTATAAGACCTTGAGCAAGTGTAGGGTTTTAGTACATTAGTGTTTTTCCTGAATGAAAGGATGGGGGCTGAGGAGTAGTTTTTCCATACATGTTATTCTAAACTCAAAAGCATCCTAATAACAGATTTAACAGCTATACAGGAATCATTTGTCATCTGGGACAGCAGGTCAGCCTGGGATGGGCAGGAGCTCTCACTTATCTAATGGCAACTCCAAAGAGGTTGAGGGTCGGGGAATTTCGTTTGGACAGAAATCACTAGTTTCAGCTTCCTTGTCTTGCACAAAGGGGCAAAAGAGACTTAAAGCAACACACCAACAGGGCCTCATTTTTAGTATTTCAAATTGTTCCCCTGCCAAAGCAATTTTTGATAAGAGTACTTCTGAATCCTTACAAATCCACCAGAGAAAATCCCCTTCATTTCATATTCTTTGATATTTCCATTAATCCATAAATTTTCCAACTGTGAGATTATAATGCACTAAATATAAGGGGGGAAATGTATTCTTAATCACAATCAACCAGGCCATCTGTCACCATAATAAAGCCCAACTTCACATATTTGAAGATTCAGATATGCACAATGATGGCGAAGTAACTGGTGAAATTCAGGCCCTGAGTCAAGTTTCATTGCCACTTAGCAAAGGAGTAATGACTACTGTCAAGCTATTTCAGGATTCAAACACTGAATACCTAAGCAACAGAGATATTGTTTTATCAACCTCCTCAGTATCTGCCAGCATCATTCTGTTCTGACTCATGGAACTCATGAAAGTCATCACGTTGATTTTGAAACAGACACTTGAACATCCATGTGATCAAATGGTTATTTTATCCAAAACAGATTCTTTCATTACAGCAGATCTCACTCTCTCTCCTGATTTGTCTGAATATCTGAGAATCACAATATTGCTCCTTGTTCTTCTAGGACACGTTTCAATTCCTTTCAAGCCAAACACTAAGTTTTTTACATAGCTAACATACATGTAAACACATGTTTTTCAGGAGTCCTACGGTTTGCCTACGGTATTAAAAAAGTTGCATAGTTTATTCTGGTGAGGCTTCTGAAGCTACTTTATTACAAAACTAAATGAAATACAATTATGCTGTTTTGGTGGAAGGAAACCTAACTTAAAACATAAAAATTAAACAAGTCAAATTGTGAAATTTAGACACGTATTTCATTTAGGTATTCCACCTCATAATACTCTATGAGCAACTTGAGCTGTCCTGTATGCAGCCATGTATGTACAATACACAGCACCAAAGAATAACCCGCTTGTCCTACTTTATTTGCAAGAGCTGGTTGATTACACAAGAGCTTGAACTTACTCTACAGACAGGAGAGAAGGAGGTGGTTTTTAATTTGCTTCCCAGATAATCAGCTTGTGGAAAAAAAAGGTACATGAGAACAAAGGAGGTCTTGTTCTGTTTGTTGAGAATTGATTCATAAAAACCCTTTAGAATTTCCAAATAGCTCTTGAAATTTAATGTTCTCTGTTCCACTTTTGGGGATGAGGATGGAGAATGAGCAATTACATTCAGAGTGATTTAGATACTGGGGAGACTACAAATGTAACGCATGTATGGGAAGCTCTGCAAGTATTATGGAAGACATCTAGTAGGTTCATATGCACAGATGGAAGGAAAAGAAGTACCAAGCAGAGCACTAGGAAAAACTGTAGAATATAAGATACGGGGAAACTGAGTACTAGATAGAACTGGCAGGCCTACAATAAATTGGTATCTATTCAAAGGTGTGCTGTAGTGCTCTTGTCATCATTTGTGACAAAGAAATTCTGAAAACCATGGACAGTTCAGGATAAGGCTGTGCTTTCCTTCATAATGAAGTGATTAAAAGTGCAGGGAAAGGAACAGCCTTCTGGCTAAGGTTTATTTGCTATATAATGTACATCTACATTACGAAAGCACACATAGGCAAGTATTCAAAAGAATTAAAAAAACCCCATACCAACACACTATAAGGAACTACTCAGTCATTCCCTATTAATTGTAATTCCACCTTCAAGCCATAATCACAATGTGCTACCTACTAAATTACAGGAAAGCCCATACAAATAATTACTTGTCCTGGTTAGTAAAGGCCTACTTATGAATAAGTTCCAAAAGAATCCTAGGAAAGATTTAGTAACCTTCACACCACATAAGGAAGATTAACAAGAACTACTTTTAAGAGTGCATTTAGTATTAAATACACTGGAAATACCAGTGCAGCTTTTGTACATAGTAGTTATGTCTCAAAAATGTCCTGGAGTTCTCTGAAGGAATTTAGAAAGAGGCATCAGACTCATACAGTGTACCTGGGCTTTCAGTGGGCACTTAATGTTCCTTACAGAAGGTAAAGAATTACATTGCTACAGGACAAGAGAAAAGCCCTCAGATGACCTAAGAAGCAGGAAACAAACAATTGAGTTTCACAGAAAGCTGTGCCAGCACATCTGGTGTGTAACACTAAAACAATTTGGAAAAGGGTGAACAGTCAACTGCCAAAGTTTGCTAGATGGTATTAAATTATTCAGGCTCCCCAACAAAGGCTGACAAGAATTTCTCAAAGACCTCAAGACAATAAACTTGACAATAAGCAGAAGTGAAGATCAGCATAACAAATGCAAAGCAATGCAGAAGGGAAAAGCGAGATACTACGAGTTGACTATTAAGATTCAAAACCAGGATTATATGGTTATAGCTTGAAAGCTGATTAAATTACATACACCACCCTCTCTGCTCTAAGCACTGGTCAAAAAGCAAGTCAATGTTACGACTTTTCCACACATCATGTACTGGTGGGTAAGACACAGCAGTTAACAGAAGGTGACCATTTACACTGCTTCAAAAAGGAACTGCACACATTCAAAAACAGGAAATCCACTGGGTGGTGAAGAGACTGCAAAGACAGTCAAACTACTAATGGGAGGGTATTCATTTTACTCTAAGAATCCATTAGTGATTGCTGTCAGAAACTTGGCTGATGCAGTACCTTTGGTTGCAAATTACAGTTTTGTGTATATTTGGTATCAGCTGACCCATCAGATATGTGGATGATCATATATATGCAGCAAAATGGCATCTGTTTAATGTTTAATTATTATTAAATATGAATCATTATTATAAATATTTAATCAGCTGAGCAGACACCCAACAAATGCTAATGTTTGCTTACCCTATGTTCAGTTTTCTCTTACGTAAAGAAATCTTTTCCTAAAGGAAAGCCCTCCCCCTCCCCAACACTCAGCTTTACCATGGCATATTCAGTATTTCTGACTCTCAGGCACTATGATTTGGAAAAAGTCACGTTATTATCTCAGGTAAAAGCTGGGATGTACATTATCTCCTAGTTCAAAACGAGTATTCCAGTACAGCTGCAATGCACATTGCATATTGCCCTTTCCCTCTGATACCAGTGCAACTGAGGATGTATTTTTAAGTGCCCTGACTCAGCCACTGCTATCTGGTTAACATACAGATTTTCTTCCTTACAGTCCAGTATTAGCAAAAGGCATTTGGGAAGCAGAACAGCAGCACAAAATCCACATGAGTTGGCAGATGAATAGCAACACGGAAACCACATGTAACTGTGGCTTAGTCAGGATCACATAGGTCAGGAATATCCTGGACACGCTCTGGCTGGGGATGGCAGGACAGAACAAAGAAGTGTGCATTCAACCCATCTGTATTTTTTCCTGAACACTCATTCTTTATCATATCAAGGACATGATCCTAGGCTAGATGAAGAATTTATCTGACCCATTACAACTATTCTTGCAGTACATTAAAAAAGTGCACTAAAAAAATTACACAAAAAGGAACAATTTCTTTACACACAAAATGGAAACACAAAATTAATCTAAAATTATTATCTGTTGATATATAGTTGAACATTCTAAGTACTAGGTTTGCCATAATGTTCAAAGTCCAACTCTTCTGAACCAGTAAGTACACAAATTAAACCAATTTTGAAGACATAATTCATAAATTCACATTATCTCTGAGAATAATGTGTCTAAATGATATACCTCCTTCTGATCAAGCTGCAGAGAAGATTTTATCAAATCACGAAGGGCAGTAAGTTGTTTCTTTTCTTCATCTTGTGTCTGCTTTATCTATGGAAAGAGATTGCCATTATATGCTTTTTGGCTGTAACTTTCATTTCTTTTGCATATTGCAGTGTACTGGTTTAGATGTCCTAAAAAACAAGCTCAACTACCCCGTGCTTTTGTAATATCTGAGATTATTTCCATGGACTAGTCCATTCTTCTGTGTTCACATTCTATTCACACATTACTTGAAAAGCAAGCTAAAATGAATGTACTCTGCATGCTGTGTTCCATGATGCTTTAATGGCTCACTGTATCTAATGCAACTAAATTAGTTTCTGAAATATTAACTAAATAACTCCAATAAGCTTGACAGATGAATTAAGGAATGAAAATACAGTTTAATTTAGCCACAAACTACAATAGCAAATGGGATTATTATAATTGTGATTATAGAATACAAAAGCACTTGGGTGACAAGCGGGTTTTGATTCCACATTATTACTTGCCTTAAATGAACATCACAAGTTAATTCACTTAAAAACTGCAGTGCTCTCATCAGGCAGTTTGGTTTTTAGAAATTTAAGAGGTAGCTAAAATCGGTGCTAACAATGTAATCCAATTCAGACTCTGAACTGGTTTTATTTTAATGCAACATTAAATTAGTAATAGAATGAAAGCTATTTTTCCTAAAAAATGGTAAAAACAGAATAGAAAGCTTAAGATAGACAAGATGTTTTTTCCAGCTATATTCAAAGAACACACTTTGCATTTTTAAGATACAAATGAAATATACACCCTTACAGTCACATCTACAATGTATTTATATAAACAAAATATTCCAGTTTTCAGACATGAAATTACTTATAAGGAAACTTACATTATACAGGTCAGCAGCCAACTTTTCAATATATTGTTTAAGTTTATCAGCTGTTTTCAAGCCATCCTGGAAGAAACTATATTGAAAAATACCCGTGATTTATCAAGGAATATGTATAATTTGTAACACAAAGTGGATTGTCTTGGGAAAAAAAATACCAAACAAAACCCAATAAAACTGATCCAGCTCCTCCGTGTTCATAAACAAGCCAACAACAAACCCCCAGCAAAACCAGCCTTCCTAGTCTTTTTAAACTATAATACCTTTCAGGAGTGGAGATATACTACGGTGACTTTAACAATTATCAAATTAGGAAGAATATAGTTTAGATTAGTTTTATCCCTGCTAGTCAACATGTTTCCCCCTTTGCCATTTCTAAAACCATTTTCCTGTATTTAACCTAAGTTCCTGTACATTTGCTTCTGTGGTTCTACTTTTGACAAAGCTGCAACTTGACATTTTCACATCAAGGAATTTGAAAGAAATCACTGGCTGTTACAATGGTTTTAAATTTTACATAAACTCTAAAAACTAATAGATAGAATAAAGAAGCTATTTCTAAAATTACTTTCTAGATCTATGCCTCATGAACCAAAATTAATCCTGTATGCAACATGTGAGGTTTTCCCTTGGCTCCTTTCTGTATCACTCCCCCAGTCACTCACTCTCATACTCTCTACTGACTGACTACAGTAAGATGAAGGTGCAGACATCTGGTAGATTATGATTATGATACAGAAATTCTTCATGCAACCAAAGCAAAGTCAAAACAAAATGAAACAAACATATATGTAAAAAAGGAAATAGTAACTAAAGCTTGAAAGCCGTACACTTACTTGCATTGTGCATGGTAATACTTAATCAGGTTCTGCAGAAGGTCCACACCCTTTTTTGTCTTTATTTCATTAACCTTAATAAGATACTGTACAGACAGTGAAAAACACGTTGGTTATTACTCCTCACAATCTTCAACAGTTTTTAATCAATAAAACACCATTTGCTCAATGGATGAACTATCTCTGTGTTTAAGCTGTGTGCTGACTCATAAGCCACCAAGTCCACCACAGTTTAGCAGTTTATTCGGCCATTCCAAGAAATTCCAACACTTCAAACACATGCAACAGATTCAGGAAAAAATTTCACCTTTTACAATAGTCTTAAGATGTCCCTTTTAAAATGCAGCCATTACTGGCATATTCTAAAAATGTAAATACTATGCAATAAAGTACTCATAACTAAAATGTAATATACAGAACTATTAATATAAAAAGCAGCTTTATGGAACTAACGTATCACTATCATTCATAACGTCAATGGAAATTTTAAAAGCCTTCAGAAAGTGTGTTGGAAGAAAGAGATCAAAAAAACTTCCTGAATGGCTCAACCATAAACCTTAAAAAATAAATATTTCCATAGCATAGTTTTAGCACAACCTTAGCATAATAATCTAACAAGAAAGGAATAAACCAAAAGGAAGCCAAGTTTTGTACAGTTGCTAAAAGAATTATCTTTATATTGCTGTACTGTGTGACTTTGAGATCATTGCCTCCCTCCACCCCATTAAACAACAAATTAGGTTTCATCCCCTTTAAGTAAAAGGGCCCACAAGGTACTTTAAAATTATGGTGTCATAAAAGCTGGAACTTGCTTCTTACTTCACACATCTGTAGCTGAAATAGTCGCCTTTCCTTCTCCATTTCCTCTGCTATCTCAGCTCCTGTTATTTCAGTTCTTATCATCCCATGCTGTTTTGCATGTTCTCTTTTTTCCTTTTCAATTTTCGTGCTGAAATTTTAATTAGAAAACATTTTAAAGGATTTCTTCTACTAACATGTGACCTTGTATTATTTAGGAAAAAAATAACAAATCGAGAAATATTACAGAAGCCATTTTGAAGATTAAGTTCCTCTATGATACCAAATCCTATCTATGTATATACTATCTATCTATCTATCTATCTATCTATCTATCTATCTATCTATCTATCTATCTATCTATCTATCATAGGTGTCTAGAAGTAATAGAGCCATGAAGCTGCCCTTCTCTCCTTCAGTTCTGTTCTCTGGTTTGTGTGCTGCTTGGTAGGAAGGGAGGAGTAAAACTAAAATCTCACTCTTTCTATATGATGTGCTCCATAGCTTTCATCTCTATATACTTCAGTGTAAAGCATGAATATAAAGAAACTACTGACTTGGCAGGAAAATGGCAGAATAAATTAATCGAATGTATGTTTCATGCTCAAAGGCAGGGATTAAGAAAACCAATAAGGCAGCCCATGAAGCTTACCACCCATGGTAAATGACAGGACTTCCAATCATTACATTTTCAGAGAAAGCCAACGCTGAAATTCTGAAATACTGAAATGTAAGTATGGAACTAAAATACAATCCTGAGACTCCAGTTAGAGCTTTGCACTGGGGCTGCCCTAATGTACCTAGGATTAATAGGATTAATTTATTTGGTTGGGAACTCTGCTTTTCTCCAACTAAGACGGACATAATGTTTGCACATAGCATAAAGCATTTTTCAGCACTGAGTCTTGGAATTTGACCCAGTATTTGGTCTGGAATGAATCCTGGAAAATGGAGTTCTCTAAGAGAATTAAGGGACATCTGCTTGGGCTAAGTAAAATCTGCTCACAAGAAAGAAAAAAAAAATACAACAGCAACAAGACAGCAGGCATCTTTCTGTAACCTTTTCACATTCAGAACCAAATTCCACACACGATTCCATGTATTGTGTCTGTATGAGATACCTCTGTCTCTTAAGTTTTGTTTACTGGCATTTGGTATAAACAGGCTGCAAAGACATCCCTGATTTTACATACAGCAATTTGAGAGGCAGAAATAACTTCTTGCTTTAAACCAGTTTGCAGTCTATAATGGACAATAACTAATTATAAATAATAATAACTTAATATTTTTGCCAAATACGCAGTATCTGTAAGTACTAAACTGAAAAGGAATAAACCCACCAACTCTGCACGGAAGCCTGAATGCTCAGCTGAGTACAATGATGCAATTTTGCTACAGGAATCTCCTTTTTGCCTTAGATTAGTAATAACCTCATTCCCAGTGCAGCTATTCAAAAGGTTTTAGCATTGCAATGAATTTTGAAGGCAAGGGTTACTATAAGGAGGTAAGAAACATTTATTATGCTGATAAGAAATACTGCAGCACTTCTTAGTGGCCTGACTTTTTCTTTCATAGCTTCCACCCCCAATGCCCCCCTTTGGTTATAGACAAATGAGACAAAACTAATAATAGGATTAAAAAGGGAAATAAATGAAAGAATACAAAATATGAATTAACTCGTGAGGGCTCTTGAATTCTGATAAAGCACCTGCCCTTCACTTCCTTGAGACCATTCTGAACCATTCCACTAACAGTTCTGCAATTACGATACTACTGGTTTCCAACCTTCTATTTTTATAAATCATCTTTTACCCAGAAAAGACAGGTATTATAGAAAGAAAATATTTTTTAAGGCCACAGATATTTCAAAAGTCACACCAGCTCCACTAAAACTCTTGTCTCAAAAATGCAGCTCTGCAATACAGGACAACACATAAATCTCACTTTTTATTATAGATGTATTTTATGCATGTGGTCATGTGTAAACATCACCTGAAATCTCCACAATTCCTTTTACCATGTTCAGTATCTGTGCATTAAGTATGTTCTTTACTACTTCATAAAGCAGCTAAAATATTCTCTATTAGTGCAGAAGAGAGACCCACAGAGGAGATGCCTTGCTCATGTTCACATTCATATCCACAGATACAGCACATGGTTTGGGAAGAGGAGGGAATGGGGGTAAGGGAGAAAAATACTTACAATTTGGTTTCATAATCCTTCCAGGCTTTGTCAAAAGGTTTTTTGAGGTCCTTAGAAAACAGAAAAAGCAGCATTTGTAAAGCTTTGCCATTATACTTACTAGATACTAAGTTAAAAACAGCAACAAAAAATCCTGTTTTCTTTTAGGACTTTTCAGGCAGCATTTGGAAAACGTTATTTTTGAATCTTGTAAAGTGCTGCTTTCCTGGGCATGTTAAGACACGCACTTACAATAAAATTCTAAAGCAGCATCAGAGTCCAGGCAATTTTTAATTTGCTCTTTGGGTTACATACATATGAATGGCTGCCAATGTAAGAAATACTCTCCTGGATGAATGAAAAAAAGTCACAAGGCAGCTGAACCTGAAACCATGTCCTTAAATAAAGTTTTCAACACTTACCCCTTTAACACCTTTTAGGTCTCCTTTTAAGAGAGAATCCAAAGTGAAAATAACATTGTGGCTTAAACCTTGGAGCTAAAGAGAAAAACATTATACTGTTATAGTTCAAAAAAGATTTATTGTGATCTTATCAAACTCCTGCCCAGAACGAAGTTGCAATCACCTCAAGATGTCTAATTAACAGTAAATTCAAGTCTGGGAAGAATCACTAAACATTCAGAAACAGACATAGAAGCATTATGTTTAATCTCTATTATATAGGGTAATAACTTAAAACTAGCATATAAGCAAAGTTCTGAAAGTACCTCAAGGTAATCTCCGGTATTGAAGCAAACATTTGAACACTGCTTAATTATTTAGGAAGCAAATGAGGTTTTGGAACAAATGTTTCTTATAGCCTCCTGAGGAAAAAGCAAGGACCTGCTGTGCTACAGGCAGACAACACGCAAGGCGCATGTTAATTCAGCCTCAAACAAAAGGAGCAAAGAGAGTCACCAGCTCTTTGATTATTCCCAGCCAGTTGCAAAGACTGTTCCTTTCCCTGTCCAGTGTGGAAATCTGGCATCTCCTTAAACTCAGAGTTTAAATTTCACTCCATTAAGTCCATGCCTGTTTGATTACATATCTCTGGATATGTTCCATTTGTCTTTGCCAACCTGAGCTTAGGAAACCCCACTGCTGTGATCCTATCTGAGCACATATGGGGTGGATGGCTCTCAAAGGGTCATGATCACAGCAAAGATGTGTGTATCAGTATTATCCCAGTCTAATGAGAAGTCTGTTGCCTCTCCTACTTCATCCCTTCATTTCTCCCCCAAATACTCAATGAATTCTCCTATTCCTTGCTAAAGAAGGACAGGGAGAACAATAGGAAGGCTGCAAAATACTGCATCCTCTGCTTGTAAACCGAAGTAGGGAAGTGTTACATTGGTTTTTCTAATCCACTGTATGTATGGCCCAGCTCCCCTCTCCTATAATGTCTTCTGAGCATAGTTTAGTCAACGAAACTGATTTTAAGGGACTCTGTAAAATAGACAATTCACACAGATGATGATATATAAATGACCATTCAAAAAGGTTCTTCAGGTGTAAAGTTCCAGTCACAAACCCCATGTATATCCAAAAGCCATGTATGAAAAATTCAATATTCCATTTTCAAGTGACATTATGCAATTTTAAATACATGCACATAAAAATTTCTCCTTTGTTGCAACAACTAATGCTCAAATATTGATTTTAAAAAAGCAACCATCACTTTTAGTGATTAAAACCCCAAAAGATCTTTTTTCTTCACCTGACCTCATTAAGGAGTTTGTAGCATATAGTCTAAGCTTTGATTCTATTTGAAGAGCTAGATTCTGTTTTTCTTTCTACAGAGCTTAATCATTTGCATGACCCCCACACAATATTATTTCATGACGGAAATAAAAGGAGCCAGGGAATTTTAGAGGATTATTCCTTTCTGCAATTTGCCCCCTGTTGGGTTTTTGTCTCAATGCATCACAACCAACAACTCCATTGCAACGTCAGTTTTATCAGAGAAGGAAAAGAATTATCAATATTAAGCCTACAAGTGATTAAGCTTTCTACTTTGTTAATACACTGACTGAGGAACAGCTATTGTTGTTTTCATTCTCAACCATTTAAATCTGTTTCCACTTAAGCTAAACTGAAGTTCATATCTCAAATGTGAATTTTGAAAAACAGTAGTCAAAAGGCATGAACGTTACTCCAGCTTTTTTCATTTTTGCAAGTGTATCCATTAAGGATAACCAATTCAAGCCATTAATACTTGTCTTGAAATTACTGAACAATAGCCAGCTAGCCAAAATAAAAATCCCATCTAAATAGTAGTATCTTACTCCAATATGGCAAGATTTTTGAATTGTTTATTACATTGTTGAAGATTTGATAAAACAGTAGCTGAAATGAATTGGAAACATGTCTGATAAAGCAAAACAGTCATATCTAGAGCAAAATATGGGAAAAGGCTTTAACAGATGGAAACACATGATAATTTGGCAAGGAGGGATGTGAACAGAAGATAATTGGTGCACAAAGATTAGCTGAGGACATTTAGAGAAAAGGGAGGTGGGAAGAACAAGCCTTAAGCACTTGGAAAAAGCCAAGCACCATGTAGAATTTCAGAAGAAAACAAGTCATCTGCAAGCACTCCCAATGTTCTTCCCAAACCTCATCTAGATCAATTTAAAGATACCGACGCAGTCATTTTCACATATGCAATCTTCGAACAGCTTTTTAATGCACTATTATAATGAATTACTGCAGAAAGAATGAAACATGGAACAGGAAAGGAGATGGGACACCCCGAAAATGTTGAAAACCTAGACCAGTGTTGACAATGGAAAAAACCTAATGAAGTATGAAAGTCCTCACCAGGTTCTTCAGCAGCGTTGATAATTCTTTCGTAAGCGTGGAAAACTTTACAAAAGCTGTGCCAAGATCTGGATTATCCCGACTTAAAAAATTACTTCCAAATTTATCTAATACTTGTGCATAGTTTTCTTCATTTTGGACATGATCTGAAAAGAAGAAAAAGCCAAAAACAATCATTTTAATATTGAAAAGAATTTACAAATAGGCAGGTATGTCTTTTAAATCAGCAACTTGAATGTGTAGCACATCAAGGATAAAAGCTCTGTAGTTATCTATAAAGTAATAAGATCAAGCAAAGGTCAATCAAACTAAGTATATGTGCTCATTTTGTGAGCTACACAGGAATTTCCTTGAATCATAGAATAGTTAGGGGTGGAAAGGACCTTAAGATCATCAGGTTCCAACCCCCCTGCCATGGGCAGGGACTCCTCACAATAAACCATGTCACCCAAGGCTTCGTCCAACCTGACTTTGAACACTGCCAGGGATGGAGCATTCACAGCTTCCTTGGGCAACCTATTCCAGTGCCTTACCATGCTAACAGGAAAGAATTTCTTCCTTATATCCAATCTAAACTTACCCTGTTTAAGTTTTAACCTCTTACCCCTTGTCCTGTCCTACTGTAATGCAAACTACTTTTAATTGTAATGTAGGCACTTACAGAACAGAAAAAGTCAGTAGTATCAGATATAAAAGGAGACCAAGTCTGAATCTGACTGCGACACGTAACATCTTAGAGACAAATATTCCCTTTTTAAGTGTTTTGTAAACCAGAGCTACCACAGAGGATGCAATGTGTTGCAGTACATCGCCAAAGACTTGCTTCAGTATTAATGACAAACTGCATGCACAGAGAGGTCAGAACAAGATGATGAAATTTAAATCAGAGAAAGGAAGCAAAAAATCCTTAACTCAAGGCTGAAGGAAGTTCTGAATTAGAAACCACTGTGCCCAAAATGCTTTTCCCGCTTCTATTAATTTCCTTTCTGGCATCTGTTTGCATATTTTCTCTTATTTCGATTTAGTATCTTTAAATAGAAAGTTTGCCACTGCAGCCCCTGGGGACATACCTCCATCTCTTAGAGGAATATTGGTGATATTAATTAAATTAACATTTCCCTTTAATGAGTTTCCTAGTCTTACTATGTTGTTGGGTTTTTTTTCCTGCCAGCCACAAATACAAAACCACAGAGCTACTGAACTAGATTATGTCTGTAATGACAGGGGGAAGAAAGAGAAAATAGTTGCCAATAGGTACCATGTTTTTACGACAAACCAACAAGTTTTATATTCTTCAAGCTGTCATATTGCTTGAGAGCATCTGATTTACAAGGAATGGGGGAAAGAAAACTGAAGACATAAGTTTCAAACAAGGCTTGTGGGTAATGCCCTGCAATACATGAATCTACTTTGACATTAACCAAGAGCCAAAGTACAGTTAAGCAATCGCAATTTTTAAGGTATTATGGGTACTCAAAATAACAATGCACTAAAGCTCCAACAAAATCTAGTGAAAATCTGTAAGATGACAAAAAAAAATTTGCAATATTTATTTATCCAAAACCAAGCCCAAACCCCACATATCCGACAAGTTCCAGACATTAACACTGAGGTTTCCAAAATGCCAAATATTTAATCACATGTTAATATGGAATTGTAATTCAAGCAGTATGCTTTTAAATGAAACTGTTCAAAAACCATACGGTTTTAATCCAGTGGCTTAACATTAAATCCAAGGAAACCACTATATAATAATAAAATCTGCCTTTTGTTTTGACGTAAAAGCTGTTGCATAAATATCCACAGAAGACTTTATCTAGGAAGGAGCTTTGGCTTATGCAGTCCTGAGATAATAAAGCTCAAATGTACCCAACAGTGCTGAAAGAAAAGGAAGGAGAATGGAATAAGGTCAGGAAGAAGTCTGCCAGATGATGAAACCCCTATCCTTGCCTGTGAAGCCCTTCTAACCCCACGACTCTCAGCATTTTGATTTTAAGCACTATGTCGCTTCACAGAGTATTTTCAAAAGTGATTTCGTAGAAAGACTGAAAAAGAGCTGAAGACAAGGACTGCTTCTTTTATCTGTGGAAAGGCAAAAACATTCCCCATCAGAAAGAGGAAGCAGGGAGCGGATCATTGTCCTGGAACAATACATAGGAAATTCTCAAGAATCCCAGATTGCAAATCACCTAAACCTAGACATGAGGCTTTGATTATGACGTAAAAGGAATATTCTGTAGTTACCGCACACACAACATTCAAGTACTGTGTAAGAATAATAGATTTCCATTTTTTACATAGCTATCACTGTAAACCTTGTCAAAGGAGAGCAAAAAACTTTCTGTTGAAGAGGTAAGGTTGTTCCCTACTTGACCTTAAAGGCAGACACATGAAAAACTAAATCAGCAACGTAGCATGTGCTAAAATGCAACATAGGCAAGCCAACACGCTTAGAGCAAAGAACATGCTTTAATCTCCCTGTACTTACATGAGTGCCTCATGCAAACATAGAAACAACTTCCTAGTATCCCAGTAGGATTTTCTTTGCAAAGAGAAAGCTGTAACATGCATGTTTACTTCCTCACATACATGTACTGTAGGAAGGACTCTAATAATCCTAGAGAGGGAGGCATGATACTGACAGCAGTACATACAAAAGACAATGTTTGTCTTCTACAACCAGTTCATGTCTTCTCAATACCGTAAACAAAGCTCAGTACTATGATGAAAACAAAACAGCTTCCCCAGAGAGACATTCTCCTCCTTCAGCAGCTCCCTGAGAGGTGCCAGGACCATGGACAACTAAGTCTCTACACCCACTCCCTTCAAAACAAATATAGGCAGGGACAGGGGCCTCACTAATCACTACCCAACAGGATCTGGTAGGGCATCCAGTACGTGAGTCCATGGTTAGAACCTCACTACAGAATAGCAGATGTAGCATAAAGCCACACACTGGACCAGACACAGCAATGGTAATTTCTGATCTGAAAGATCACAGAACCACAGACTGGTTTGGGTTAGAAGGGACCTTAAAGCTCATTCAGTTCCAACCCCCTGCCCAGGCAGGGACACTTTCCACTAGACGAGGTTGCTCAAAGCCCTATCCAGCCTGGCCTTGAATACTACCAGGGATGGGGCAGCCTCAGCTTCTCAGTGCAACCTTTTCAAGTGCCTCATCACCCTCATAGTGAGGAATTTCTTCCTTACATATGCATCTTTTTCATAATCCTCACCGTCACCTCTGAGAAACAGCCAGCACAGGATTTACCTTTGAGAAAACCCTGGTAGGGTGCATTGTGCAGCAATGTTGTGGCATCCCATACTTCCATGCTATAACCTGTATACTGAGGATTACATGTTAAGAGGAAATAATACAAAGACATCTGAAGATGCAGATCCAAGCAAGTGAGGAAGAATGGCAGCCTTAGCAGCTTACAGCAGCCTGTTGCTGCACAGCAGTACTCACCAGAAGCAGGGAGCGCACCTACTCTGAGCCCCAAGCACCCAGGGCTTAAGGACTCCCAGGGCTGAATCCCACCTTGTTCTGCTGCCCCATGCAGTCACCTGAAGCTGTCTATGCCTAAAGTCAACTTGAGGTAAAATTTTTCCCAGGACGAAGACAGAAGGCTCAAACAGGATTTCCAAGGCATACAAAGAATTTGAACTCTTTTACTGAAACTCACAACATTCATTAAGTGCTATGCTTATTTCCCATTAAATAATTACCAGAATTTAGAATATGCTTCAGAACCCAGTGAAATTCATGTCTAATTGTGCACATTAAGTAAGGAAACTGAAGAAAAAATACTGTGAAGAGAGGCTAAAGAACAGCCTTTATATAGTGGATCTAGAAAACATAGCACTAAAACTCAAGCCTTAAAGTCTCCTTTATCTAAGAGTTTTGTTCATATATATTACTCTGCAAACACTTAATAATAATACTAATAATATAATTATTCAGAATCCTGATCACCTTGAAGCTATTTTTATGTTGCACTTCATAAAATGGCTTTATTCCAAGGGTAGCTGCAGGAAAAACAAGCAAGGTCAGAGCCAAGCTGCATTTATGAATGAAAGAAGACTCCGAAAGACTTTAGGAAAAGTAAGCATGCTGGCAAGGTTAAAAAGGATGGCAAAAGAAGTTTGCATCCGTTTTCATTTCATCCTTCACAAAGGTGAAATGTAATGAAAAAGTAATAGAAATGAAAAAGTGTATCTGAGCACCATATTCTTATCTGGCATTGATAAAAATAATGTCTTTTGGACTGACATTGCTGAAAGGAAAAGTAACAAAAGCCTCTCTCAAAGATTCACAGTGCAAGGAGTGTCTCAGGGCGTCTGCAAGGTTCTCTAGACCATGTAAAGCAGAGAGATAACCAGCCCAGGAAGGTAAATGACTTCTTTTTGTACCTGTGTTCATTGCTGACACGCTTGGGAAGTCCTCATGGAAGGATTTTCTTTCAACTCTCTTTCAGAGGATTTATACCAAACCCAAGTGCTCACAGTAGAATTCATAAAAGCTGACAAAATGGGTAATGGCAAGTCACTCAGACCCACACACAGAAGAATACAACAGGCAAACTGTATTGTTGTAAAGTGAAGCATCTTATTTATAACAGCCTCTATACTACAGGGAGAACGAGAAGCAAATGTAAGGGTTATTTTTTAATAAGAACTCCAGAGGAAACGGAGAATTCCAGTATTCACCAACAGAGCAGTAATGCTTACATATTCCTCAGGCAACTTGTAGAAACTACAGTGCAGAACAGCATTGGTAGACATGTAGATGAATACAAAATGCTGAACGAACACAGGTTTTATAAAAGTAAATATTTACTTAAAGAACCAACTACCCCCATCCAATGGATCCCTGAACACATGAGGGCAAGAAATCCACATTAAATGATCTGCCTGGATTTCTGAGAAGGTCTGTTCCCCACCAAAACAGTAAAAAGGATTCAGCTAAGAGGGATAAACCTCACACAGAGGAAAGGGGCCAAAAAGATGTGGTGGGGGAAAGGGAAGAATAAAGAATTCAGTTTCTCAACAGAGGGAGGTCACCAGTGAAATCCTGTATGAAACAGTGACAAGGCCCACATCACTTTACAATATATGAGTTACGAAGTAAGATTGATAGTGATAAACTTTGTTGTTCTTTTCCATACAATACTAAAAATTATTCAGGGAACAAAAACAAAAGCTGACCTTAAAGGTGACATTAATCTGTCCAAACACAGACCCCTATAACAAAGGTACCCATATAGGAGCTGCGGGTCTACCCCTTCTCCTTACATTCAACACAGGAAAAATTACAGCTCAGCTCATCTTGCTGTAAACGCAGAGGCAGTCCAGTGTATCTCACCCTAGAAATCTCTACATACATGCATTACTTGTGCACAGAGTCTAGAGCAACAGGCTCACATCTGGACGGCTCCCAAATAAGATATGGAATCCCACACTGAATGGCCAGTGCGTGAACATGTGTGTTAGGCAGGGTAACATGTGAGGGAAAACACTCCTAACTTCAAGAAACAATTGTGTAACTAGACATTATAAAGAAAGGGTCTGGAGTTATATCATCTTGACATTCAATATCAAGCAAAACAAAGCTGAACATCAGAAATTAGTAAAAATACAGCATGCAGTAGAGCAACATAGAAGCATCACCCTTGTGTGCTTAAACCCATAAGACTGTATGCAGTTCCTGCTCTGTTGCCTGAAATTCACTCTTCCACCCTGTTTTTGAAAAGTCAATGCTGCCTTGGAGGAGAGTAAGGATGATTAAACACAGTTTCTGTAACAAAAAAAAAAAAAAATCCCCAACCATTAACCTCAAAAAGAAAGCTATTGTGGGTGATTATGGAAACAATTCAATTCAAAAACCTATTTCAAGAGATAGGATGGATGGGACTGAATCAAGTCTTGACTCATCCACCAAGAAGTCCTCTGTCACTACTCGAGTGAGCTTTGGCACTTCCAAGCCCCCTACAAACCCTCATGCCTCAGAACAAGTCCCTCAATTTCACATCAGCTGTGTCATTGTGGTGGGCCTGAGGCCAATGCTTTAAGACATGGATAGGGCCAGTCTTCTCATCAAAGGACTTAAGGCCTGAGGAGCATGATCAGCACCACTTAGCAAGAGAGCATTTAACAGGGCTGATGCAAGACTATGAATGATAAAGATTTCCATGAATTTAAATTCTTTAGACACAATGAACTGCACAGGTCTGCTAACAAGTACCCAGCATCATGGTATGTGTCATGACTCTGGTAATTCCTGGCCTTCGGATTCACTGTGAGCTGAGAAAGTGTTTGAAAATAATTAACTTATAAAAATATACTCCCCTCTTTGCACTGTTCTACTTGCTCAAGCATCTGCTGTTGATCACTGCAGGAGGCCATGTGGACTGAGCTGATCCAGCTCAGTACTGTGGGGCTTGCATGGAGTTTTATGGTTTTATTTCTCTATTGTGTAAATTCTTTTGGCTATATTTGGGAGTTATACCAGGGAAGTAATGAAAAGGAGCTATTGAAAATCTACAACAAAACTAATTGTGCAATCCACGGCTGCTTCAATTCAATCCAAATGTTATGGGAAAGCCAGTCAGAACAGATTCTCCATGAAGTTCAAGCACCACTCACGTAAGATGTGTTCCTGCTTACAGATGCAATCTATCATGCCTGAAGTAAACAGCAACGCAGATAAGGGGGAACTGGTGAGAAACAGGCACCAATTTGTGTCTCTTACTGGATTTCATAAACAGTACTTTCAGATTGGGAAAAAGGGATGGGACTTTTCTAAGGGATTTCCACATTTCTGGGCTGGTACGTTTTCCTTTCCACTGCAGAAGGTCTAAATCTGACAAATGGGTGAATGACGTACACAAAAAAGCAGAAAGTATTTGGGGGACATTTAAGCTCTCTTTGTAACATAAGAGAGTCCCTTGTGATCCATCATTCAGCAACGAAGAGGAATGAACCAACACACCACAGAGCTAGGGCTTTCCGAAGAATTCTGTATGAGATACTGCAATGTGTGAATGCCATGTAACTCCAGGCAAAAAAACAAACCCAAACCCCCCACTAATATAGCCCCAAAAATCCTACCTATGATTTTTTGTAGGAGTATGAATTGGATTACTGAACTGAAGAGAGAAGAATTTCTATTGCCTCTGGATAACTACTTCTCACCAGCCCAGCTGAGTTCTGAAAGCAGGGGAGTTTTTAAAAAGACATTTCCTACTCCAGTAGTTTAAATATGGCCTCACCTTCTGGCAAACAAATTTGTGAAACAAATTCCAGTTCTGAGATCTCAAACTGTGGTTAGAGGCCTTCTTTTGAAATACAAAAATAGTCAATTCCTTCTTGAACTGAAAAACAGCAATGCATTTTACAGCTGGTTTTAGTATGGTTTAACTGAAGTTAAACATCAAAAGCCACTTTCATCACTGAAGCATAAGAAAATAGCTGGCTTACAGGCAAAATGAGTTTGAGTTTTAATTCAGTTACTTTATACTAAAAAAGGTTTCACACACGTAACACATGCTTTCAGTCTTGCTTTTACTAACACTAGTTCATGTTTCTCAATTACTGTATGACTGTGTCCTGTGCACATCTTTCCCCGTTATAAGGTAGCCTATCACCAACAGCATTCTGTAGAGGGAGCTAGAGTATTGTCCATAGTGCTTGCTTTACCCAGTGGAAATAATACTGACTTGTACCTTTGAAACCAGACTTGTCAAAAAAAGGAAATAATTAAACCTGAAACAAACAAAAACTCAGCTACCTGACTATCTCTGGTCCTTTTGAAGTATAGAGGCAGCCAATTAAAACCATTAACCAAACTTCTATTGCTTTTACTTCATGTGAATGATTCATGTCATAGCATGGCCTACTTACAGGCATTGAAAACAGTATTACTTTTATTATGAGGCTCAAATCAAATGATAGCTAAAATGCCTAGTATCATTTCTGTATTTCAAACTAGGCAGAACACTTTTCATGTGTTCTGCAGTTTTCACTAGGTTTGAAATCCAGTAAGTAGGCACTTCCAAAATAGAAAAGCTACTTTGAGCATCTGAGTACTTCTATAAGCAGAGAACTAAAATATCCACCCTACCAAAAAGAAATCTCACTTTGTATCAGGCTTCACAGTCTATTGGGAAAACATTCATCATCAACTGAAATTAAAGAAAAGCTAATTAAAACATGATGCTAGTAGAGCAACAGTATTAGTGATTGGCAGAAAAGTTAGGACCCCACCATACATTAAAACACTCCCACACTTCCATAACCACAAGTTAATGGGACAACACACAGAATTACACAGAACTAATACCACTCAGAAGTGGCTCTGCATAAGGGAAATGCTTGCTAAACTAGTACTATTGCTAGGGAATATAAACTGGGCTTTTATAAAGTTCAGTATTTACAGCCAGATGGTTATTACAAGGTGTACAGCTCTGATACCATATCTGCCTTTGGCACAGTGTTTAGACCTTAAGAGAAGCAGAGGTAGAAGCCAGGTAGGCTTTATAACATCTCCAAAACCTAATTTGTACTTTGATCTGTGCTTGATCATGACTTGTTACTGAACTCAAATGGATCATCAATTCATATTCCAGCCACCTATCCTCCCACAGAATTATTTCTACAGCTCCAATAAAACACTGTCTTCGAACAAACAACATAATGACAAATCTCCACTATTTTAGGTAGGAGAGGAAATATATAATTTTTATTGTTCATGTCACAAGCGGAGAGCACGTGTTTAAACAAAATACATCTACCTATAGATATTTCCTTTTATTTTTTAAACCTTTTAGCAAGTTCTCACTCTTGTATCTCTTAGAAGCGCTCTCCATAAACACAGTCTAGAATACTCTGTTGTCACCATTCTAGCTGGAGGTAACTGGTTGAAATATCATCACAGCAGGAAAATTTATCCATGGGAATCCTCCCAGAGGCCTTCGAGAAGGAATTTGAGGGTTTAAGAACTGGAAAGCACATATATATGGTGTATAATCAGAAGCAAAATGTTTCTACGTCCAAACACTTCTAAGCAGATAAGCATCTCTCCTGCTACACACTTCAACAGGATAAATTGCAAGACACTTCTCAAACTGGAAATCAAATCCTTAGGTTCTCATGTGAAACTAAAAGCAACGTCTTACCTTGCCCCGAATTATATATTGCTTTCACAGATTTTTTCACCTTCTGTAGAGCAGTTCTGTCTTGATCCAATGCCTACAATAGCAAGAAATAAATAAACTTTCAATATTTACTTCAGCAATCCACAGAACACCAAAAAAATGGTTTCACAGGCTGGAAACAACTGCCAATACAACATATCCAGCCTGCAGGAGGGTCCGAGGTCATTCAACCCCTTCAGGACTAATTAAAGAACTGATTTGAAAGTGCTCTGGCAGCACAGCAGAGCACCAGTGACAGTGCTGAAAGGCAAACACTATGTCAGCTTTGCAAGGGACAAAACATTTATTCAAATTATATTAAAAAACAAACCAAAAAATAGTTAGCAGATGCTTCCATAGCCCTCCAGTTTCTACTAAGCTAATTGTTAACTTCTGTGGTTTTCCCATAGTAATAGTCTTCCAATTATAGACACAGATTATCACACTAACCTCTTGCACTAAACTCCAACAGATAATTTTAGAAATAGAGCAGATGAAAAATATCAAAAGGACTAAGATGTGATTTTGTGCAGCATAACGTGACTGAAAGGAAATATTTATTATAACAGTCAAACATGTATTTTCAGGATTCCGTAATTCTGAATTTCAAGTTCTCTGCAATAGTTTCAAAATCCAAACTGAAATGTTACTAAGCAATGATGAATTCAGGATTAGCTGTTTAGGTACTTTCCTTTTTAAGCAAGGTCACTCCTCCCTACCCACTCCCAATCTGAGTAAGGCATCAAATCAGCATGAGAAACAACTATTATGATAAAGCAAAAAAAAATAAAAACAAAGCAAACATTAGCCTAGACTTATGGAATTAATAAATTTAAAAGCTATTGTCCTGAGCAGGTCCCATGTACAGCAATCCAGTTAATTTCACTGAAGCTATCCACAGAGAACATACACAGAAATGCTTAAATCATTTCCTAGTTTGTTTGTTTTTTTTTCCCATTTAGGTCATATGCAATTCCCCATCACTGAAAGCAACATCAGATTAATAACCTCAAGTTTTAATGAAGCTCGAAGCATTTGCCATATTATATTTACGTCCGAATCACTGAAGATTGGAGAACTTCTACTCAGGATTACCGTTGGGAGTAGCAGCCCAGCTGTGCCTGTTCACTGCTGTAGATGACAAAGTTCCTGTTGCAGAGACCCTGGGGTAGAATATTATCCAAACTGTTTAAAGCTTAGAGCTCCTGTGGGTCTGGTACCTGAAGACTGGCACACTAAGGCAGAATGGCAGCTACTCCCATAGCAGGATGCACATCACCATAGAGGGATACTACCAGCAACACTATGACTGAAAGCATAACCACTGAGCAGAGTTTTCACTATCAAAGCTGAGATGATTTCAGTACATTGCACTGGACACTGAAGCTTAAAATAAAACCAAAAACCCCACAGCAGGAGCTCCAGGTCAACTGGAGTGTTAAACAGTGGAGATGGTCACACATGAGAATAACACTCCTACGTAAGTTCAAGTGAGTGTTTCACTGTATGTACACTTACACTCCACAGCACAAATACAGATTGGGTGGAGAATGGATTGAGAACACCCCCGAGAAGAAGGACTTAGGGATGATGGTTGACAAGAAGCTAAATAATGACTTGGAAGCATGCACTTTCAGCCCAGATAGCCAATCAAATGCTAGGCAGCATCAAAAGAAGCATGACCAGCAGGTCAAGGGAGGGGATTCTCTCCCTCTATTCAGCTCTCGTGAGACCCCACCTACACTACTGTGTTCAGCTCTGGAGGCCCCAGCATAAGAAGGATGTGGAGCTGTTGGAGTGAATCTAAAGAAGGCCACAAAGACGATCAGAGAGCTGGATGACCTCTGCTACGGGGACAGGCTGAGACAGTTGGGGTTATTCAGCCTGGGGAGGAGAAGGCTCTGGGGAGACCTTAAAGCATCTTCCAGTACCTAAAGCGGGCTTACAAGAAAACTGGAGACATCTTACATGGAGACATATGTAGGGACAGGACAAGGGGGAACAGCTTTAAGCTCAGTGTAGATTCAGATTAGATATTATGAGCAAGTTTTTCCCTGTGAGGGTGGTGAGACACTGGCATAGTGTGCTCAGAGAAGCTGTGGCTGCCCCATCCCTGGCAGCGTTCAAGGCCAAGTTGGATGGGGCTTGGAGCAACCTGCTGTAGTGAAAGGTGTCCCTGCCCATGGCAAGGGGTTAGTTAGAACTGGATGATCTTTAAAGTCTCTTCCAACCCAAACCAGTCTGGGATTCTATCATATCTAGATAAACCAATTAATTTATTTTGGAGTGATCCAATTTTAACCAAACAAAATGTTACAGTTGAACACCACATAAGAATCTGTTACAAAAAAAGATGCAGTATTTCTGTTCTTTAAGAACCATCATATTCTCACATTACACCACTTCCTCAGTACTTAAAACTAGAAAATTTGGAACCACAGAATTAAAATTCTTTCTAATACTATTTATCTCTAGTTTTCAATTTGCAGCAGAACAACAGAGTCAAACACTCAGAATTGCAAATGCCATTATTTCTTTTGCTGCCAGTAAAATTGTGGATTTTATTTGACTTCCACCTTGACAGAATTTTTTTGAGTTTAATAAATTAAGAACGCTGTGTTCCTTTTCCAGACAGTGCACAGCAGGTGATTCTCCTTAGATTCCTTTGCAAATACTGTCAAAAGCTTTTACTTCTGTCTGCATGCTATGCCAGACTGCTGTTATACATTTCTACTGAAGTTCTCTCCATCTTCAGTGACCAGAAAAAATATGATTCACTTGTCCTTGGAGAGTTTGAATGCAGGATATCCTAAGAATTTGAAGCAAGTATCTTGGAAAAAAGACAACCATTAACACTGATGAGATTTCAGAGATAAAGCTTTGTACTAAATTCTAATATTGAAGCAAACTGGATACTCAGGGAGAGGAAACAAACACAAAAACTCCAAGAAAGATGGTACGTGTTCCTAATGTTATCAATCTAGAAGTCTAGGACAAATGGACTAGAAAAATCTTTCAAATTGGATCTGCTATCAAATTAAACTTAATCACCAGTGTGGGAGCAAGAGGAAGGGAGCATTCATTATTTTAAGAGCCATCAATGATGAAGTGATACACAGAGATGACATCCACTGCCCGAAGGAGCCAGTGATCTAAGTCAGAATAACATCACAGGTCAACCTTGTGCTTTCATATTCAAATAGGAACTTTATGTGAACTAGTTCTTCTTTTAGACAAAAACATACACCCATGCACACTTATAACCCAATACCTGGGCAGTATGTGGAATGCCTACTGCAGTGGAAACCCAAGCCTACATAGGATTCTAGGTACACACAAGCTGTTACCTAGGGGGGTTTGGACTGGGTTTATGTGGGGGTGTTTTGATGGTTGTTTTTTGTTTTATGTAACTGTAGTCAGCTTGTGTCCAAGTATATCACATTCCTTTTGAATGTCATTTGCTAATGACTTTTAGCTGCACTCTGCTGTAAAGGAATTAAGGTGCACTCAATGCTCAATTCAATTATTACTCCAGAGTAAAGTTACCTTTTAAGTATGTTAAATTAGACAGAACAGCCCTTGCTTCCCCCTTTTAGGGGGAAAGCACACCTTGGTGTAGCCATTAATTTTATTTTCCAGCATTCAGAATACTAAATATTTTTACTCCCCATGTCTGAAAACACAAAGCCTGATCTTCCAGTAAAAGGGACACATTACTGAAAATTACAATGCCTTAGAGAACCAAGGAGTCTCTGTGACAGTCTCTAGGTATTCAGATGCAATCCCCTTCCTACCTTCCTAAGTACTGAACTCTTCCTTATCACCCTGGAAAATGCTTCTTTCTTCATTTCTGTGATACCAGCTCCCAGAGGCCTTTTTAACTTCTCTGAGAGATCCTTTTCATATCAACTTATGCATTCTGAAAAGACATAATCTAGTAAAGGTACCTGCAACACAGCTTTACTACCTCTTGGATGAACAAAGCTTTATTCTTGACACCAGTCATCTGTGAGACAAGCTTTATTTAAAGCTTTATTTAAAATAATGCAAAATTAGGGTTCACAAAAAATCCTGACATATATTAATGAAGAAATTAAGGAAAAAAACAAACCCTATTCTATTTAGTCTGCCAATATAAAATTAAACAAGGAAAACTCCTTGCCCCTCATGCATAGCAGGTTTGCCACACATGATCTCCGACATACGCCCTGTCAAGGTTTCATATTGCTGCATTCCCTTACATTGAAGCTTATGCTCAGTAAGAAAACATCCTGATCATGAAAGATCAGCCTGGAACCCCCCCGGAAAGTCACCTTAGATTTCATTTCTCTTTCGGTTAAAATTCAACTACTTTGAACCTGGACTGCAGTTTCAAACCACCAACCTCATTCAGATCTGTACTACTGAAGAAAGTGGTGCCTCTTCTTCATACCAAAGAACTCATGTTGGCTACACACTGTGACCCAGTTCAAACACTGCTGGATGACCTTAGCTCCAGGAAAAACAGTGGCTCCTTATGAGCACTGTGGATGTAGCTCACCTTCCATCGAGCATGCACATTGACAGCGATTTGTACTTGGAATGACCATTTCACATTCAGAGGCAAGGCTTCTTACAGCACCCTCCTTCTCAACATGTACATTTACTGATAGCTATTCATACAAATATAAAAACTGAAAAACTTGTCCACCTGAAAAAACAAAACCAGATTAATCCAGCGGAGGAGGAAGGCGAGTCCTACCAATGGATCACTGATGTACGTAACTGTGTAGCTGCACATATACTTTTACCAGCATGACACAGCACACACGTCAGCAGCAGGTCAGAAAAGGGGTATGCTTACATCCCATAACCCACGCTGCAGTCCTCTCTCTGAGATGAGGCAAAGCCCTGCAGACACTGCTTTTGCCTCTCTTCTGCCCTTTAAAACCTGACCTCTTCTCAGTAAAGGGTGTTTCTATTCTTGGGCCAGTTTTAATAGCTACTGAATTTTACACCAGAAACTACTACCATGCAGCATGTGAAGTGCTCCATTCTGGATTGTTCTCAGCCTTT